CAGCAGGAGGCCTCATCGCTGTGTAGATGTGAGTGATGTAGAATCTTAGGTCTTTGAAGAATTTGCTGCAATACAGCAAAGTGGATATAGCAACCTATTAATTTCATATGCAAAATTTGCTTATTCTTAACTTAATTTTCTAAGTAAAGGCTGGCTGACTGTCTTCCTCCACCAAGTGACTACCAAAATAGATTTCATCCTAATCCAACAAGATGTAGTGATCTTAAAGTATTAAGTTTCTAAATGTTGCACAGAACATTAGATGAGAGGAAATAAATGCTCTTAGTGTCACTGTTGCGATGGCTGTGTGAGCTCTCTCTTGTCAGACCACAGAGAATGTCTGTGAGAGAGAGCAATTTGAGTGCCTGTATCATGAGACAAACTTCAGCTAGTGCTTTCACCTTTTTAGGCACCCAACTCAATCACTGTGACTCAATCACTTCAGAGTTCAGGAAGCCAAGCTTATATTTTACAAAAGTAATTGCTGTGTCTTTGAAGAATAGCCATTCTACACTTACAAAATGCATTCCTGTATGTTGATCTATTCTACAGTACCTATTTGCTACAGTACCTATTTTCTACAGTACTTACTGTATTCTACAGTATCTATTCTACAGAATTTATTCTACTGTAAATTCATCAGCTTCACATTTAGGATAACATTTTTTCACATTCATGTGATTTTCTTTGTTGCATCTAATTTGCTTTAATTTGCATTGCTTCTTTTGCTTAAGCGAAATGAAATTCAGGGCATAGTACTTGTTTCTATTAGGATGAAAAATGTATTGTATGGCTTTGTATTGTCATGTATTTTCTTTAAAAGGAGAATAGGGAAGCTCAGAATTCATATTTGCTAAGTACTAGAAATGAAGAAATGAAGACTTTATCTTACTGAGAAATCCCTAGCTATGCCATTCAATGAGACTTGCACCAAAGAAACTAGACTGTCAACTGCCATTCTTGTTTTCTTCCTGCAAAAAAAAATCCTTGGTGTTACTTGATTTAAGAATCATAGTGTCATATAATCATTTATGTTGGAACAGACCTGTAAGATCATAAAGTCCAACTAACACTGCCAGGTCCACCATGAGCCATGTCCCTGAGTGCCACATCTACACATCCTTTCCATACCTCCATGGATGGTGACTTGGCCATTTCCCTGGACAGCCTATTCCAATTCTTGACAACCTTTAGAGTTAAGAATGTTTTCCTAATAGCCGATCTAAACTTTCCCTGGCACAATTTGAGTCTATTTCCACATTCTATCACTTGTTACTTGGGAGAAGAGACCTACATCCGCTTCACTACAACCTCCTTTCAGGTAGTTGTAGAGACCCATAAGGTCTCCCCTCAGACTTGTTTTGTCCAGGCTAAACAACCCCAGTGGCTCATCATAACACTTGTGCTCACCATCTTTGTTGCCCTTCTTTAGACTCTCCCCTGCACCTAAATGTCTTTCTTGTAGTGAGGGACCCAAAACTGAACACAGCATATGAAATGCAGCCTCACCACTGCCAAGTACAGGGGGATAGTCACCTCCCCAGTCCTGCTGGCTGCACTATTTCTGATACAAGCCAGGATGCTGCTGGTGTCTTGGCAACTGGGCACACTGTTGGCTCGGATTCAGCTGGCTGTCCATTAACACCTCCAGGTCCTTTTCCTCTGGGCAGCTTTCCAGCCACTCTTCCCTAAGGCCTTAGCTTTCCTTATGTAATTTTTGGTCTTAAGTTAATAATCGAATTCTGAAACTCTTCATGTTCATTTTTCTTTTCAGAGACTCATGTACTTATTAGATGTCCTGATCAATGGATGTCATATGCTGGTCACTGTTACATAATTCACAGGGACCCCAAAATATGGAAAGATGCCTTAACATCTTGCAGGAAAGAGGATGGGGATTTGGCAAGCATCCATAATGTTGAAGAGTACAGCTTTGTTATTTCTCAGCTTGGGTACCGTAAGTATTTTTTAAAAATACCATATACATATATTTATAGTAAGCAAGTTTTAAATATGTCTTACCTACTTAAAAAAGAAGGGGACTGTTAAAAAAACCAAACAGTTCTGATCATAAGGTGCAGAAGGAGTTAAATTTCAAATTTAAAAAATCTTTGGAAGAAAAAAACAACACACTAAGAATATGAAAAACAAATGAACTAAACTGACACAGAAAAGCTGTGTTCAATGTTGTGAATTGCATTAATCCCAAACTTGTATTTCCACGTGTCTGCCTCTGCCCCTTTTTATACAGATTAAAACAACTTTCAGCCTTTTCAGAAGCAGGAAGGATTTTTACTCTTGGTCTGCGAAGACAGATGAGGGGAAGCAAAGCCAGTTGGTCAAAGACAGTGTGGGAAGATCTGGATCTTATTACCAGCATTGCCATTTTTCAAGTCATGCTGCTTGTGTTTCTTCCGAAAAAGGAAGCTGCCTGGTACTTACATGCTCCGTTTCTGGCCACACTGTCAAGTCTCTGCAAGCCAAGTTAGGGTACAGATGCTGTGTGTTCATTAGGGGAGATGCAACCAGGCTGATGCTGAGGCAATTTTAGGGTTGCTATTACTTTACACGAACCTGATTTTGCATGTAGGATCAGTTACTGCCTTTTAATGGGAGGAGCATGTTCACACTTGATCTTATGTGTGCTTTTTGTGCCAGGTAAATGTGAGTTGGTTTATCTTAGAATCATAGAATGGTTTGGATTGGAAGGGACCTTAAAGATCATCTAGTTCCAACTGCCCTGACATGGGCAGGGACACTTTCCACTAGACCAGGTTGCTTAAAACCCCATCCAATCCCTCCTTCAACACTTCCAGGGATGCAGCATCCACAAGTTCCCTGGCAACCTGTTCCAGCATCTCACCACCCTCAAAGCAAAAAATTTCTTCCTCATGTCTAACCTAAATCCACCCTTGCTCAGTTTGAAACCATTCCCCCTTGCCCTATGCTACATGCTTGTGTAAAAAGTCCCCAGCTTTCCTGCAGACCCTCTTCAGGTACTGGAAGGCCGCTATAAGGTCTCCCTGGAGCCTTTCAGCCTCCAGGCTGAACAATCCCAACTGTCTCAGTCTGTCTTCATAGGAGAGGTGCTGCAGCCCTCTGGTCATCTTTGTGGCCTTCCTCCTGACTCACTCCAAGGACTCCATGTCCTTATGTTGGGGACACAGTACTCCAAGCGAGGTCTTGTGGGAGTGGAGTAGAGGGGGAAAATCACTTCCCTTGTCCTGCTTGCCATGCTTCTTTTGGTCCAGCCCAGGGACAGCTGGCTTTCTGGGCTGCAAGCGCACATTGCTGGCTCACGTTGACCTTCTCATCGACCCAAACACCCAAGTTCTTCTTATTCTTCAGCAAAAGTGCAGTAAGCTGCTTTGAGCTGCAATGTAACAGCAGTCTTGGAGTGGCAATCATAAAATAGCTGATATGTTTTATTTTTGTATCCTAGTCAACTCCATGGCAACTTGTGCTTGTCCTCACATTTCTGAAAGAATGATTTGCGGTTCTTTCATGAACAGCATAAAACTTTTACTGTTTTAAAGGAGATTATTAGGAAAAATGGGACCTCTTGAAGAGTCTTTAGGACATTTGAAATAAGTTAGACTCTAAAGGAAATTAGTTTTATTTTCACATTGCTCCTTTGAAGTAGATTATTTAATAGTTTAATGCCTTCTCCAAAGACCTTTCCTGAACTGACTGTGCTGCACTGTTTAAAGATCATCTAGTTCCAACTGCCCTGACATGGGCAGGGACACTTTCCACTAGACCAGGTTGCTTAAAACCCCATCCAATCCCTCCTTCAACACTTCCAGGGATGCAGCATCCACAAGTTCCCTGGCAACCTGTTCCAGCATCTCACCACCCTCAAAGCAAAAAATTTCTTCCTCATGTCTAACCTAAATCCACCCTTGCTCAGTTTGAAACCATTCCCCCTTGCCCTATGCTACATGCTTGTGTAAAAAGTCCCCAGCTTTCCTGCAGACCCTCTTCAGGTACTGGAAGGCCGCTATAAGGTCTCCCTGGAGCCTTTCAGCCTCCAGGCTGAACAATCCCAACTGTCTCAGTCTGTCTTCATAGGAGAGGTGCTGCAGCCCTCTGGTCATCTTTGTGGCCTTCCTCCTGACTCACTCCAAGGACTCCATGTCCTTATGTTGGGGACACAGTACTCCAAGCGAGGTCTTGTGGGAGTGGAGTAGAGGGGGAAAATCACTTCCCTTGTCCTGCTTGCCATGCTTCTTTTGGTCCAGCCCAGGGAACAGCTGGCTTTCTGGGCTGCAAGCGCACATTGCTGGCTCACGTTGACCTTCTCATCGACCCAAACACCCAAGTTCTTCTTATTCTTCAGCAAAAGTGCAGTAAGCTGCTTTGAGCTGCAATGTAACAGCAGTCTTGGAGTGGCAATCATAAAATAGCTGATATGTTTTATTTTTGTATCCTAGTCAACTCCATGGCAACTTGTGCTTGTCCTCACATTTCTGAAAGAATGATTTGCGGTTCTTTCATGAACAGCATAAAACTTTTACTGTTTTAAAGGAGATTATTAGGAAAAATGGGACCTCTTGAAGAGTCTTTAGGACATTTGAAATAAGTTAGACTCTAAAGGAAATTAGTTTTATTTTCACATTGCTCCTTTGAAGTAGATTATTTAATAGTTTAATGCCTTCTCCAAAGACCTTTCCTGAACTGACTGTGCTGCACTGTTATTGTAAAAGTGGATGTTTCTGAAAGGCAAGTAGTCCTGAAGGAAACCAGGCTTCTCATGCATGGCATTCTCACTGCAAAAGACTTTTTTGAAAGCATTCTTTTCAGAAGAGTAAAACTGGAGCAACTAAAGAAGACTTTTAAGGCAGTTTATAACAGTATCAGGTTACACTTGTTCACCAAGATGAGAACACCATGTATTGCAGTACCTAGAAAATCTTGTCTGCATCAGAACTCTGCTGCAGAAAGTGCTGTACAGAAAGAACAAAAGTCTTCGTGCCAATATAAGGTCCCATGATAAAACAAAAGTAAGAAGGGGTACAATGAGATGAGTATTGTCATAGCAACCAAATTTTGTTTGCATCAGCCACAAAGGAGAACTTTGGAGAGGAACATGTAGAAGAACAAAGTAGTGCATTCTGGATGTTTACAGAGAAGTTCAGCATGTGATATGGCACAAATGTGGCTCAGTGCATGTCTGAGAGAGTGAGGAACAGCTTATTTACAAGTGACTGGGAAAAATACTAAACTTAGTATTTAAATACCTGTCTTTAGAGATGATTGAAAAACTCTATGACAACATTTCTTCTAAAGAGGATAAAATGTTACGTAGGAAAGGGGTCCACAGAGCCAGAAATGGATCTTGGGCATTTCTGATTTCCTTGGCTTATTTAGATGATTTTGGTCTAATAATTTTGTTAAAGAATGCTGTTTATTGTTCATATTGCCATGGTGTGAGTCCACCACAATAAGAATTCTGACGATGAAGGAGGCCTCTGCTGTGCTAGGTGCTCAGTAAATATAAACAGAAAAGTTTTAACAAATAACTAAACCCAGAAACTAGAGAGCATGAGCGGTGGTAGCTAAGAAGAGAATGAGAACACAAGAGGCAATGGAATTAGATCAGGTTTCAATTTTGGTAGCAGTCGATAATTATAAGGAGGGTACTGAGATGTGATTTTGGGAGACTTCTGAGCATGAAGAACTCTGGAAGAGGAGTTAAAGCCACCTCTTTGAAAATGGAGCCTGATGTCCTGTGAATCTGAGCCCTTCTTACTGAAGGAGAGACAGTAAGGACAGTACGAATAAGCTATGAGAGCTGATCATACTTCAGTGTGATAAAGATGGGATAGACATGGGAAAGAGAAAGGAGAGGGAGTTATCTCCATTAAAGAGACAAGCTAGGAGGATGACTTTTGCATCAGCTTCGCTGGTGTCCTGGTTTGAGCTGTTTGACTCGGGTTTGACAACAATGCTCTCGATCCCCTCCCCTTCCCCCCAGATAGGGAAGGAGAGAGAGGAAAAGAGAGAGACTTGGCTGGATCGAAAACTAAACTACACAGCTTTAATTAAACACTAATCATATAAGAAAATATATACAATTATATACATATATGTTCAGATATGTTGCAAAAGCCTCTCACCTCCCCCCACTCCCAAAGTAGCAAGGAAAGGGGAGGTAGCATTTTATTTAGGCGTTTATTCATACCTTGTTACAAGAGTTTTATGCTGGAATAAAGATATGAATCTAGTTGTATTAACAACTAGTTATTACAACATAATTCAACAAAGAGATAAGTTTGGCTGTTTTACAGAAAGTTAAACACACCTATTGTATTACCACTAAAGCAAGTGGCCTTTTCTCATGACTGGAGTAGGTATATGAGGAACTGTTTTCTCTCTTTCTGAAACAGGGAGCCTTTATTTCCTGTGATTGTCTTTTAAACTTCCTGAGAATAAATTATTTTCTGTTCCATGAATATAAGAGTTCAGTGCTTTTAACCTTGTTAATCATATATCTTAGAGCCAGCTGATGAGCTGTGGATTGGGTTGAATGACCTGAAGGTTCAGATGTATTTTGAATGGAGTGATGGAACACCTGTCAGCTACACCAAGTGGCTTCGTGGAGAACCCACTCATGCAAACAACAAACAAGAGGACTGTGTTGTTATGAAGGGAAAGGTAAAGTTATGTAGCTATTGACTTAATTATTTTATAATCTCATTTATTGTTTGGACTTGTTTTTCTAGGCAAGAACACAGGGTGGATGTTACTACTCTTCAAAACAGCCTGTTTTAGGATCTTATAAGGGTCACTTTTTTGAGGAACAATTTGTGTTCCAGGTTCCCAGAAAGCTGTTTTTGTTGTTTTCCCTGAGAAGCAGGCAAGTGATAGTTTTCCTTGAAGGAAACTGCAGTTCAAGATCCATATTTTGCATATAGACTTTTTGAAGAAGCTTTTAATTACCCTGTGACACACATGACCACGTAAATGCTTTTCTTCAGGAAGCGACAAAGACATTTTGGATATGTTTAGTGAAGAAATTTGCACTAGTCAGAAGCATGGGTAAGATTATCATGCTTTAAAAATTCTTCCCCATGGTATTAGTGGACATGCTCCTGTGAGATGAATGTAAATGCATGTTTCTGCCATGTCAGAAGGCCACAGTGCACATGGTAATTGAGCAGACTTTTAAGGGCCCGACAATTTTTGTGCTCCATTTTTTGTGCAGTGACTATGCCAGTGCTGGTCGAGGATGGTTGCAGATGTTTAACTTATAGAATTATAGGGTCAGATGCTAGAAGGAAGCTGAATGCTCACATGTGAGGGTCAGTCAATTAAGGTAGTAAATGGCAGTTGTTCGAGGACATTTATACTGGTCAAGGCTCGAGAACTTCCTCAGGAACAGAAAGTTTGCAAGGTAGGTGTCCTTGGTGCAAATGGTGGGTGAGTTGTAATGAACACGTAGTGGAGGTTTTGTCACATCTACTGTGCTGTGCCCTTTAGCTGCCCTCTTCTATTAGTAAGCAAAGCCTTCTCTTCCTTCACATAGCACAGTGTCCATCATTACAGAAGGATTTTAGAGGCCTCCTTTAGAGGAGTTGTCATTCTCTCACTTTTATCAGAGAGATATAAACTGATACTGCTTATTGAATAAGCAATACAGAAAGTATGATGTAAGTTTTGGCTGAAGAAATAAAGGGGGTTTTGCTTTGTAAAGTCTTCAGGTGTATGTGGCTTGTTACAGAGGTTGCAACCAATTCTTTCAATTGTTTATTTTGTAGAAAAGCAGAGTGGTCTACTTAGGGTAGACCTTTTGTGCGGTTAAGAACATACTTGCTGGAAGCTAACAGGGATATTAAAAATAAATTACTTCCTCTCTCACTTTGGGGGATTGAATTAGAGGATGTTTTGAGGTCACCCAAATAAATATTTCTTCAGTTCTCAGAAAGTGTGGAAGTGTTCCATTCCCATTGCTTTGTATGGCTGGTCTCTCTGCTGCTCTTATATGTAGCAGCAGATAATTAGCCTCCAAGTAACAGGACCGCTTCTATAGAGGGAATCCAACCCCCTAAGCTAGGGGACAGGCACTGGAAGCAGAACGATCCCCCCACAGTCCAGGAAGAGATGGTCAGTGACCTGCTGCACCATATAGGTACGCACAAATCTATGGGGCTAGATGGGATGCCCCCAAGAGTGCTGAAAGAGCTGGTGGGAGTGCTCACCAAGCCATTTTCCATTGTTTATCAGTAATCCTGGCTAAATGGAGAGGTACCAGCAGCTTGGAAATCAGCCAGTGTAACCCCCATATAGAAGAAGGGACAGAGGGGTGATTTGGGAAATTACAGGCCTGTTAGTTTGGCTTCAGTTCTGGTGAAGCTGATGGAACAGATCATCCTGAATACCATTATGTGGTACATTCAGGACAACCAGGTGATCTGGCCCAGTCAGCATGGGTTCATGAAGGGCAGGTCCTGTTAATTTGATTCTTTACCTTTTGGACAGTGACGCAAAGTAATGTGATATAAATTTGCTGTGATTCAAGGAAGCTCCTGTTTGTCCCGTTAAACATTTTGAAGGGGTAGCAGATGACATACGTTATGCTTTAGTTTTTCTACCATTATTTTTGATGGGAATACTGTTTGATTTCTAAACCAAATAGTACGTGAGACTGATAAATATTTATTTCAAGACTAGATTTTAAGGGCCTGATGCTTACTATCAGACCAGGTTTTCCCTTTGGTTCAGAAAAGTCAGTAATTTATATTGTGAGAGTTATAGATGAAAAAAACAAGTTTTAGCTATATGCAGACTTTTCATATATGACTTCTGTGTGGAAAATTAATTTTACTGTGGGTTCTTCTGAATGCTCTCAAAATATATATCTACTAAATAGTTGATCTTAGTAGGAAAGGTAACTTCAGATTCCATAGAAGTTGTACTAGCTGATCTCTTGAGATCAGCAATCAACTGACCAAAAAAAAGCATGAATATAATTTGACTTTTCCTGTTTTCTGTTGCAGTTTATCTACCTACATACATGTATGATTTCATGGTGGATTCTTCTCAGTTGTTCACTCCCTGACTGAAGTCCTCTGAATCCAACATTTATTTTTATGGAACAAAATCTGACCTTGTCTATGACACCACTTTCTTTGTAAAGGAAGTGTTTGTGTTCAGTTAATGAGGAAGTAGACAACAGAGATATTTGCAAAAGGCAGCCCATAAGACATCTTAAAAAGTCCGTAGAAATTACTACACTAGTTTCCTAGTGAGGACATAATTATGGCAAGACAGCGAAGTATCTTCTTATATCTAGTTGAAGTTTCAGTCAGTTTTCTTGTGTTCAAGAATCATAGAATCATAGAATGGTTAAGGTTGGCAAGGACCTCAGAGATCATCCAGTTCCAACCTCCCTGCTATGAGCATGGGTACCTCACACCAGACCAGGCTGTACAAACCTTCATCCAACCTGACCTTACACACCTCCAAGGAGGCAGCTTCCACAGCCTCCCTGGGCAACTTATTCCATTGTCTTGCTATCCTCATGGTGAAGAATTTCTTCCTGATGTCTAACCTAAATCTACTCTCTTTCAGTTTAAAGCCATGACACTTTCTTTCACTGCCCTCTCTGGTGAAAAGCCCCTCCTCATCTTTCCTGTAGGCCCCTTCATGTTGTGAAAGTTGTGCTGATTCTTTCCAGGCTGAGAAGGTCAGCATTTGGGGTGGTTATTGTAAGTGCCTACCAGCCTAGTGAGACTGAGAAAGACATGATAGGAGATGATGAGACAGCCACCAATTTGCAGGCAGCACAGGACTGAGAAGACAGGCACCAGCTGAACACACTGCAGTTCTTAATTGTTGTAGACGGTATTGCTGAGCTTTGGGAGAGTTTTTGCTGGAAGCAGGCTTTGTTGAGGTTCTTGAGGACTTTGCATATTGTGGCACACGGGACTGTGTATCAACATGATGGTGATACTATATTCCGGGGGAGGTGGGGGGGGCGGGGCAGGAAAAAATGAAAGAAAAAAAAGAAAAAAGAAAGAAATTGCCACCAACTGCTATGATCTTCCTCTTAAAAGTCATGTCTTTAAAGGTACAGGTGAAAAATTGCTTTGCACAGAGAGTTCTCTTGCTCTCCCAATACCTTAGCTCATCTGTTAAACCAAAAAGGGAACATGGTATGAGATTTCTTACCTTCAGTACAGCTTCTACTCAATGTCATTGTTTCTTCTGAGAATTTGTACTATGAGGAGTAACAGTGTCAATTCTAACTTTGACAAGGAACTTTTCAGCTTCAAAATGTTATGTATTAACTAAGGAATGTAGCCATCCGATATTTTTTTTTTCTTTTAGCTGCATATCTGTGGTGAGAGATAATATCTCCTTTACCTTCTGTATGCTTATTAAATCAGTGGTCTTTGTAAAGATGATGTATTCCTATCACTTCCAAAGATGTAAGTCAATGGTGAATCAGTGCCAGTAGAAGACAGGTTGGAATGAGGTTAGAGTTAAGAACGGAAGTTATATGTAGGGTTTCCTTCATTTCAAGATAAAAAAATAATAAATAAATACTTAAAAGCATAAAGCACCTTTTTTGAAGACTAAATCCCATTTGACTGTGATGTTCTGTTCTTATGTTTAGGATGGATTTTGGGCAGATCATTCTTGTGAAAAGAAAATTGGCTACATCTGTAAGAGAAAACCCATGTCAGAAGCTCCTAGAGAAGAGGAAACTATAGACATGGGCTGCCAAAGAGTAAGTGAAGAAAAAGTTGTCTGATCTGAATAGGCTGCTAGGGATGATTAAAAGGAGAAAATGACACCTAAATGACAGTTAAAATAGGAAAAATGAGTTGTGTCTTGTCACAATTAGAACAGTTGGCCTTCTCATTTCTATGGCAGATGGGATAGGTTATACATATGAATAAATGTAAGCTCTACTGTCATTTGGCTCTTGATGCTCCCTCTCTTTTTCCAGAACTTGAACCAAAACTTAAAATGTCCTTGCCATTTTAAAAGGCCATTTTTCCGTGATTTGCATTCAAGACTTCCTAAGGAATTTGCCTGTATCAGCAGTTGCTCTACAGTTCTGTCTACAATTTTCTTCAAAATTATTCACAGCAGGAAGTGTGTGCTTGTCTACATACTATTCTCAAGGCTTTGCTGTGGTCTCTGTAAGGACTCTCTACTTTGAAGAATTCGTTATGGGTGCCTGAGCAAAATTAATCCATTGTGCTCCTTCTGAACTTCAACAGATATATTGTTTATTTAGTAATGCTCATCTTCTGGTAACATAATACTCAGTAAATCCAGAAAAACTACTGTAATTTGTTATGTCCTAGGGAATTTTACTCAGTTTTTGCTTTCCATGAAGAAATCACCTTTTCTTCCAAATCTACTTTACACAGCTGCAGAGAAAGTCTTCCATGTTTATTCCTAGTATTTGTAAAAGAGTACCTGGGTACCTTACAAATATTCAACTGTTGCAGAAGATAAATGGATCCTAATGCTTAGGGCTGTTATCCTTGCCTGGAGAACGAAGTGCATGCTTGTAGAAAAAGTCTCTCATGAGTGAGAAATCAAAATCTGTCAGAAGAATATTTGTGTCAGTTGTGGCTGGTCAGAGCAAACCTTCCTTCTCTAAGTGTATTCCTGAATTAACGACATTTGAATGGCAAAACATTAAGCTGGTGTAATTATAAACAAACTTTTTTTGAGATGTCATTCCCTTTCTGAAAAGCCAAGCTGAAATTTGCTTCTCAAGACCATTCCAAGGATTGTGCAATGCCTATGTGTTAGTTGTCATCCTGTACTCAGGACTAAAGGTGCACAGCAAAGCCCCTCATGCCTTCATAAGTGGAATGCACTGATTGAAAGTTCATTAGCTGTGAAATAAAATTTTAAAAAGCTCTGTTCCTGCCTGTTTCCAATCTGGCTTTTTCATAGAATCACAGAATTGTCAGAGTTGGAAGGGACCTCTAGAGATCATCTAGTCCAACTTCCGTGCTTAAACAGGATGGTTCCTTTTTCTATTGCTTAGCTGACCGTGGCATAAATAAGTTGTGGTTGGTTTGGTTTTGGTTTTTTGTTTTGTTTTTTTTCCAAGAAGCTTAGAAAAGCTGCAACATATGCAATATCTTGATGTTTATTTTGACAGGGTTGGAAAAGACATGGCTTTTATTGTTATTTCATTGGAAATACATTTGTATCATTTTCTGAAGCAAATCAAACCTGTGTAAGGCATCAGGCCTTTTTAGCAACTATTGGAGACAGGTATGTAAAAGTCTTCCTGCATGAGGGGATCACATGAAGTTTTAACGTATAGTGTCATCTGAATTTCAAAATAAAAACTCTGATCTGGACAGAAGTCTTGCTTCAGAGGACACCCATCTGTAGACACAGAACTTATCACAGCTTTTGCATGTGTATTCAAGCGTAGGAATTCAGTTTATAGTAAAAATAAGTAGTGGCTAAAAAATCAGTATTGATATAAATGGTTATGGAAAGGAAAAACAGAATTATGTTTTCTGTTTCCTTAATTTTAGTGGCTTGAGGATGGATTTTCCTTGAGTGAGGAATGCAGAATCCAATTTGATTATTACATGGTGAGGCAGAGCTCTGAGTTCAAATGAGCAAGACGATATAATTTTAAACCATCTGGTCTTCTCCAATTTGAGTTACTTTAAAAAGATTTAAATAAGAAATGATATCTGCTTGATACCTGAGAATCCATCACAATTCAAGCAGAGTTCAGTGTGTGCTAAATTTCTGAGCAACTGGTACACAGTCTTGATTGTGGAATATTGTAAAAAATTAAAATTATTATTTTCTCCTATATAATCTAAATAGATATGTTATAGTGTAAAAACTCTAGCTGTCATGTATGGTAGCTCTCTAAATGTAGGTAGTACTGCAGCTATCATAAAATGATGTAACAATAAAGTGGTCTTCGGACTGTACCTTGTTAAGTGGAGACTTACTTTGTTTACTTGATTTTTTAAGAGCTGTTTCCTTAAACACCGTAATGAACTATGACAAGCTTTACCTCTACATTGGTTTGTTTTTCAAACCTAACTTTTCCTGTGTGATCACTAGATCTAATTTGTGGAGTTCCTTAGTTTGATAATTTAGTGTTGTGCTACTCTAGCTCTATTTTATATATTTCTTCAACAATGCTGAGATACCTTTTCCGGTTTTGGATCTGCCCCAAACAAGAGGTCATTAAAATACAAGAGTACTAGAAACTCTCAAAAAAATACAGTGGTATAACACACAGGCCATGTCAGGTTTCTTTTTTTCCCACCAGTTTCATGTCAGTCTGTGATTGTGTCACTTTCTTTACTGGACATCCAAAGAGAAGGTAGAATACTCTGGTACTCAAGCTCACAAAATATTTATTATGTAAATATTTGTTGTATGCTTTGTTCGAATAAATCCATCCAAGCTACACTGAATTCTGAGAAAATACAAACCTTTTACAACTTTAACAAATAAATTTAGTAGTATTAATTTAACAGTTGTGTTCTTTTAAACAGATATGAACAAGCCTATCTGACTAGCCTGGTTGGGCTGAGAACAGAAAGATACTTTTGGATTGGACTTTCAGATGTAGAAGAAAAGGGAACATTCATGTGGACTAATGGTGAATCTGTCTTATTTACACACTGGAATTCTGAAATGCCTGGTAGGTATGGCTCTATACCATTTTGTGAGTCCATGGCCCAAAATAGATTGCTCACTACTTGATTATTTTTACTTCACTCCTTAGCCCTTGCTTGAATGTATAATGACTAATTGCTTTCAAATATTTCTGGCTGCTTTCTCAAGTGTGCAGTACTGTTGCTAACTTCCTGTTTAGTGTCAAAATGAGTTTTTACCATGTCTGGAAAAAAACTTTAAATTGAGAAAAAAATCTGGTTTCCATCTCTTTTGGAAAAGTCAGTGTCTGTACTACTGTGGAAGAGCAGTCCCTGCAGGCACACTGTGCCCTGCTTACAAGTCCTGCCTGTTCAGCTGTGTCTCACAGTACACTTGCTCACTGCGTGTTCTGAGGTGCGTGAGATCATAGCGTGTATGAAGCATCTCTGGCCTGAGAGAACATGGGATTGTAGGAGAGGACAAGAGAGCCAGGAGAAGATTTGTGTTTAATATTCTTGTAATTAATATCTTAACCAGATTAACTGTTATTTCCTTATTAGTAAATAAACAGTTCTGTGATTGAACACTTTGCTATTTTTTTTCTGTTCTAATATAATTATGTGTGTGGGAGGTCATTTCTTCTCTGACATGATCACATCAGAAAGGGGATGGTTGTCAGATTTCAAGGTTCTGATGTGTTGCATTTGTCTTTCAGGAGATCCTCTGAATCTCTTTAATTTCAGTGCCTAAATGCTGAATTGAATGTGTCAGGTGAAGTAGTAAGGCTACGTAGACCACAAAGTCAATACTAGGCTTATACATAGCAAGTTTATTTCTGAAAATCATAGTCAGCTTGGACACACTTGAGAAACTAGCTCTATCCATATCTTTAATTTTAGGGAAGAATTTGTTGGATCGTAGGATATGATGTTGCCAATCAGCCACTGGAGGTGATTTGGTATGAGAAACAATACAGTCTTTCAGATAGGGATGAACCACAGATTTTTTTGCTTTGCTGTTGTTTTTTTCTCTTTCATGAATTAGAATAATAGAATCACAGAATGGTTTGGGTTGAAAAGGACATTTAAAGATCATCTATGGGCAGGAACATCTTACACCAGACCAGGTTGCTCAAAGCCCTGTCCAACCTGACCTTGAGCTTTCCAGTGATGAGGCATCCACAGCTTCTCTGGGCAACCTGTTACAGTGTCTCACCAGCCTCACAGTAAAAACATTTCTTCCTTATGTCCAATCTAAACCTACTCTCTTTCATTTTAAAACTGTTGTCCCTTGTCCTGTCACTACAGGCCTTGGTAGAAAGTATTTTTGTGTCTTTCTTAGAAGCTCCCATTACATTTTGAATGGCCACAATAACATCTTCCTGGAGCCTTCTCTTCGGGTTGAACAACCCCACTCCCTCAGCCTTTCTTCATGGGAGAGTTCCAACCCTCTGATGATTATTTTGGGCTTCCTCTGGACCTGCTCTAACTTTAGAAACATTTTTTACTCGGTACGAAGACTTTATCTCTGTTAGGATAGAATATGAAGTTTTAAAAATTCTTATGACCCCCTAAATGTTTTTTTTGTGCATTCTTGTTTACAACCAGGAAGAAAGCCAGGCTGCGTTGCCATGAGGACTGGAATTGCAGGTGGATTATGGGATGTAATAAAATGTGAAGAAAAGACAAAGTTCCTGTGCAAAGTGTGGGCAGAGGGAGTGACACTTCCACCTCCTCCTACAACAACTCCTATTCCCCGGTGTCCAGAAGGTTGGGACTCAAACAGTCGCATTAGTTTGTGTTTTAAAGTAAGTATGTTGCTCATCTCTCTGTTGAGAATGCTTATGGTTTTGTTTGTTCAGTTGAAGCCCCATCTTCTGGACTGATCTGATCTCAATTTACCATTCTGTTAAGATTAAAAGTGACTTTCTTCTAGTTGTTATCCTGCAGCAGATACTCCTGTCAGCACTGCAGTGTTCTAACTTGGCTTAAGACACTCATACTAAGCCTGTGTTTCACAGAGATGAACACTCATAAATCCTAAATGCAAAGTTTCTGTAATCCTCACAGAAAAATAGAATTGTAAATTTAATGCTTTTGGGTAGCTGATGATTCTTGATCTTGTGATCTATACGGTCTACTTTGTCTGATTGCAAAATGCTCTCTTTAGCCTTTTTCAAAAGGAGAGCAAAAGAAAACATGGCTTGAATCTCAAGAGTTTTGTCGAGCTATAGGAGGAGATCTGGCCTCTATTAATAGTAAAGAAGAACAGTACGTGATATGGCGTTCCATTGCGTGAGTACCTGGGGTATTGCCCTCCATTCACCTGCATTGGCTGTTTGATCTTTCTAAAATATTTCATTTATCACAGATACCAGTTGTTTTCAGAGAAGAAAGTGTGTGAATAGGGTAATGGTCGTGATATGAATCTGGTCAATGTATTGATGGCTTGTCATTTTTGTGAAGTAATCAGAAAGCAAGAGCACCTCCAGATGATCTTTTTATTTTATTTTATTATTTTTTATTATTATTTTTCCTACACAGGCCGGGTTAGTAAATCTCTGAACTGCAAATTGCAGGTGTGAGATTTCTGAATGAGATCAAATACTCTTAAAAGGGTAACAGTTGCAGTATAACCTGAATAGACTGGCCTCAATGAACTTGTACATCCCTGTCTAACCAGGAAGCAAAACTGAAAAATGGCAGCCTTGCAAAATGCTGCAGCTGTGCTAGAATCCAGCTATGTTCTTATGGTAAGGAAGATGTATCTGATGCAGCATTACTACGAATTGACTCAATAAATTCAGACAAATCAGTGAAGTGTGTCTTCTTTCAGTCAATAATTAGTTTAAGGTGTTATGTTTAAAATGAGATTCAATTGTGGCAATTAAATGTGTTTGGAAATTGCAAGTGCCTTTACAGAGAAAATACAGTTGATTGATTAATGGAGCAACAGTAGCTATTGAACCATCATATAAATGTAACATACCACCTTATTTTCAGGAGTTGGATTGGATCTGGACATTTTCTTGTTCAGCATTTCAGTTGGTCTGACTTAAAACAGGTAGAACTGGTCACATTTTAATTATTTCTATCCTGGTTGTTATGTTTCCAACAGCTTTAAGAAATATTAATAGAATCATAGAATCTATGATTCTATGATTCTATGAAATATTTTCAGACAGTCTTACTAACTGTTGTAAATGATAGATTATATAAATATTGTAATGCCCTTCTGAGTTTTGGTTTTATGTTTAGATTTCTTAGAAATTGAACATTTAATATTCTGAGGGTTTCTTTTAGGAACAATGGCTATTACAACCAGCATTTCTGGATGGGCTTGTATTACTTGAATCCTGATGATGGCTTTGTTTGGAGTGATGGATCTCCTGTGAGTGATTTAATTTTCCACAGCTGTTATTTTGCATTCCCTGTGTTTCTCAAGTGTGTGTGGTGTATGTGTTCCTGTGAATTTTTATGCTTACTCATAGCCCTCTACTGTTCATGCTCACTTTAGGAAAGTGTAGGAATTACAACATCATAGTCAATTTATTTGGCTTAAACATACTGATATTTGATAAGATCATTTGCCAACAAGAAAATAAAATTTGTGTAGCCTAAAAATATTTCTCATAAATTCAAGGATGTTTTTGAGTACAATAGTCCTTTAGTATTTATGACCTTTGGTAATTAGATCTTTATCTGAATCAGCCTACATTCCACAGAGCTGAAGGCAGTTTTTTATGGCAGTGTGACTTGACTATAATTTAGACTAAGATATAAAGCCGTAGAAACAAAAGGGGTTTTGGAGATGTAAGTGTATTTCATGCAAGGTTGGTCGAAATATATTGATGGAATTTTACCATACCAGAACTGGAATTGGAATTTATACAGGAAAATTGCAATATTTTCAATATTTTAATATTTTTCTGAGAAAAATGCCAACATTGTTGTGTCTCAACAATGTCCTACTATTTTACTCATACAGGATATTTTAACTAATTTAATATCAGCCTGTAGCATGCCCCATCATTGTTACTAGATGAATTTTACAGAATTTATGTCCTATAATGAATGTCAGTATTCGTTTTCCAAGTGTGATCTGAAAAAACTGTTAGCTAAGCTGGAGTCCAATAGCAATCTGAAAACCAGGTTGGAATGTCAGCATATGCACAAGGAGTTTCTGGTTTGCTCTCACCTATGTTTTTAAACTGGCAATAGGAATAAATTGTAGATCTGTGGTTTGATGCTGTCTCCTCCTTCTATCCATTATTTTCTTTCTGTATAATAGAATTTCCACAAAACTCTTTCTGTTGTAGGTGAGGTATGAAAACTGGGGCTTTGGAGAACCCAATAATTATCAAGGAGTTGAACTTTGTGCAGAGATCAGTGGTGATTCCAGTATGCTTTGGAATGACAGGCATTGTGATTATCTATATGGTTGGATTTGCCAGATAAGAAAAGGTATCTCTTAATCTTGTGTATTAGTATAATAACAAAAGATACTCAGTTGATTTTTTCCTGAACTTTAAGAAACAAGCAATTTAAAACCTGTTTGTCAGAATGGTTCCCCGTGAAATGTAAAATATCAAAATTCTATAACGATTTACGTCTTCAATGCATTTACAGATACAGAGCTGTTGGTGCCCTGCTGGAACTTCTCATTGGTCTTTCTCTATGGTGTGTTGACTGATGAGAAGTTCAACATGAGCCAGCAGTGTATACTTGCAGCCCAGAAAGCCAACCATGTCCTGGGCTGCATCAAAAGAAGCGTGGCCAGCAGATCAAAAGGGGTGGTTCTCCCCCTCTCCTCAGCTCTCATGGGACCCCACCTGTTTTATACCTTGCACATTAGGAATAACTTATATTTGTAGCCTCAGGGAAGAAGAATATGTACTTGAAATTGAATAATGTAACAAAAATAAGAGATGTAGACTGCCCAGAAAGCCAACCATGTCCTGGGCTGCATCAAAAGAAGCGTGGCCAGCAGATCAAAAGGGGTGGTTCTCCCCCTCTCCTCAGCTCTCATGGGACCCCACCTGTTTTATACCTTGCACATTAGGAATAACTTATATTTGTAGCCTCAGGGAAGAAGAATATGTACTTGAAATTGAATAATGTAACAAAAATAAGAGATGTAGACTATGTAGTTCCTTCTAGGTTTGTGGTTTTTTTTTTTTTTTTTTGGTGTTAAATTCTTATCTAAACCTTAAAATTCCATGTCAATAGAAAATCCTGCCTCCCAATCATAGTAAATATTTTGTTTTACAGCAGAAATTGTACAATCAAAATATTTTAATTATTTTTTTTTTCCTTACAGGAGCAAGTGTAAAGCCAGAACCAACAGAATCTCCTCTACCCCGTAAGTCTTATTGCTTTTATTACATGCGTATTTGCACATCAAAAAGCATTTAAAAAATGTTACTAATAAGCATGTCTTGTATTTCTGGAACATTAAGAGTTAACTTACCGTTTATCTTACAGAATACATGACTACTGAGGATGGATGGATTATACATGGAGACAAACACTATTATTTCAGCACCGAGAGTGTTCCTATGGAAAAAGGTCGGGAATTCTGCAAGAAGAACTTTGGAGACCTTGCTGTCATTGAGAATGAAAGTGAAAGAAAGTTCCTCTGGCGATACGTAAGAAAAATAATTAATACTATGGAATAAATAATCCTAAACAAGTGAGCATGGGCACAAATAATTTCTACTCTGATGCTCTCTCTACAAGTGTTATGATAGTGAAATTACAGTAGCATTAAGCTAGATTAATACAAATAAGAAACTCAAACTCTATTTTTAGGTTGTTTCATAGCCACGACAAGCACAATTTTGGTTTGGAATTTTGTATAGAAATAAGCACAGTAAACATTAAACAGATAATAGTCTGCTTTTCATATTCAATGTCACAGTTACCCCACATTATATCTGTCCACAACTGGGAATGTGCTAAGGTAAATCTTAATGCCTACCTTTAATTGATCTGTGGCTTCATTTTAGCAAGAAGTACTACACTTATGAGCTACAATTCTGTAAGGCAGGTAAGTTGACTGAAAGTGAAGTTTATCAACAGATAAACTCAAGTTATCTGAAGTGGTGAATCAAAATAGATATTGGGTTTCATGTAACACTCAGAACATTGCCTTTGATCTTGTCAGTGCATCTGGGATGTAGTCTACCCAGCAGCCTCTTTTTGGTCTTTAGCTTAGTCCTTTTGTCTTCTTCTCCTTAGAAGAATATAACTATGCAGGAAAACCAGCTTAAGGCTTGGATTTTAATATGAGAAAGAGCTTCTAAACGGTAATTCTTAGGTGGCTGCGGTTGATTGCCTGTTCATAGTGTCTTGAGACCAACTTCTTTAAATAATGTGCTTAAAAGTCAGATTTAAGAATCAGTATCTTTTAAAAGATGGTAATTTCAGTGACTTTGACATAAGACTGTGAGAAGTACTGATATAGTGACCCACCTTTTGGCCGATGGTGAAGTCTGACCGTGGACTGTCCCCTGTGAGCTGCCTTAACTTAAATGTTGTAGCTAGAGAATATAGCAATCCATGCCCTTTGTCAGTCAGACATATGTTACTCATTATTAACACAACAGATTTCTATTATAAAAAGAGGACACTAATAAAATTTTCATATTTACATTCTAGATCTTGAAAAATGGCAAAACGGATTCATATTTCATTGGTTTACAACTGAGTGTTGACCAACGGACAAGGTAGGCCAACTAGAATCACCAAGCTTCCATTTGGCTTAAAAATAAAGCAGAGCAGAGCAAAAATAATGAAGTGCTTGGATGAAACTGTGGCCTGTCAAAGCAAACTAGAAATTTTTTCCTCTGTATTTTGTGGGATTTTCATGCTTTTTGAATGTCAAGGTTATAAAATGTATTTTGTAGTAAATGTACCCCAATGTGCCATTACATTTAATACCCTTTAAAAAAAAATCCTATTTCTGTTGTTAGACATTCTAACCCTACTAGTATAACTGTTATTGTATATTGGATTATAGCAGGAAAAAAATTTGCTCTCAGTTGTTATCTGCCTTATTCTTAGTCCAGTAAAACGTAGCTAATCTAAGGAATATTTTAAACGTTTTTCCTGAAGATACTGGTGAATTTTTTTCTGTGGAATACCAACTCCCCTTCAAGTAAATGGAATTTCTCCTTGATTTCACTGGAACTATAGGAGATCCAACAACCCTAGAATTTGACTTATTCTTTAACATTATAAGTGCATTACCTTCCTATTTAGGAGTTTATGCCAGGTCTATGAGATTTGGAAAGTGGTACTTTACTATTTGTTTTAGGATTTTGTAGCCTGGAGGACCAAACAAGTTAACTCAACAGGGCATGGATTTTGGAAGTATGTACCTAATTTTGAGGCTCAATTTAAATATGGCTGTACTCTCAAGTTGGTTAAATATCATATTGATTTAGTTCCAGATTATCCAGGAGAAATACTGCATGTTTCCTACGTAGAATTCACCCAAAGCAGGAGAAAAATTACATGGCAGATATTGTATTTTGAATTTTTAGTCAGGACTTTTAGTTTCAATAATTTAATGATTTATACTGAAAATATTAATAGATGCTAACTCAAAATACAGAAGATTTCTGGTAGGTGAAAGCATTCTTTTCCCCTTCTCCTTAACCGTTAGAAGCTGACTGTAATAAAGGGAAAAATGCAATGTTTTTTATTTTTATTTTGTGGAATCAGGATAGCTGATTATAGCCATTATATAACTTCAGGTGCGCTGTGAAGATAAGCAGGTTGTCTGAAAGGTTTTCTGAATGTCACTATGCACCACTATACTAATTTTCACATGTGATTCTGTTTGAGGCTTGGTTTCTGTTCAGTCTGGGTCTTGAAGTGCCTGAGTAGATGCTTAGTAGTTCTTATTCTCCTTATCCACAGTGACAATGAGAACCCTCCAGAGGATAAGTAGGATCTTAGGTAGGTCAGATCACCTTCTGAAAAGGACATGTCTCAGTCATTCAATTGTTTTCGTAGGGACCTTAAGATGAATATACTTTTAAGTGAAGTACCTTGTTTATATGTCTGAAGGGTCAACCTGGGCACCTCTGTCACAGTCCAACATGGATATATCTCCTGATAAGTGTTTAGTTGTGTGGTTAAGTTTTAATTCTTTATTGTTTAATCTACATGGTTGTTAATTTTTTTTTTTTTTTTTTTTCCTTATGGTAGGGCATAATGTCACAAGAATTTCCCTTGTAGGTCATGTCCTTTTCGTCTGCATAGGGGAAAGACCAAACATTTTAATGTGTTGTGAATACAATCTCTTATCTTTGTAATAGATAAAAGGATTGTAGGACTTGGGGGAAATGGTGAGCATCTGGGTGCTCTCATACTGGAAAGATGTCTTGCCTTTATGTTGACTTGAATGATTGAGTATTGTCCTGTCAGTTGCAAAAGAGTCAGCATATTTCTTAAATGCAGAGTGAACACAACTTCAACACGTACACGCACATCTTTGGGCATGGAGTAAGTTTAGTGCAATTGGCAAGGAGGCAAATTTGTCAGGAAAACCTTGTACACCTTAAAATATGAAATACTCTATTAAACATAACGTAAAATTACTTTTTGTAACATAGAAGCAATTCCATTTGTATGTTAAAGACGTGTTTTGTTGGATTGTTTTTCTTAAGCTGGATGGATGGCACTCCAGTGAATTATTTGGCATGGGCACCACATGAACCTAACTTTGCAAATAACGATGAAAACTGTGTAGTTATGTATAAAAATTTAGGTGAGTTTTTTTTAATGTTTGTTTCTGAATTTCATTATTTGTCTGTTTGTGTTTCAACTTTTTTTTTTCTTCTGCAAGGCACCCCTTCCTTTTTGTTTCTTTTGCAAATGTTTATAGAAGAACATAGTATTGTATTCAGGACTTAATAGTGTTGTGCTCTTGTGTTTGCTTTATTCCTAGCATGGGGAAGCTCTTACAGAGGTCTGTGGTTGTGATTGCTGTACAACTTTTTTATATTTTTTACTAAATTTGGCTTAAAGTGACACTATAAAATTGTTTTTTCTGGTAGCTGGTTCTACCCCGCTTTCAACATTTTATAATTACAATGTATATAAAGTGACATATTTATCCTAGATGCTGATACAGAATTATAAGAAAGTGAGAGACTGTGAGAACTTGATCTGATTTGTCAACTAAAAACATTTTGTGTAATAATGTGTGAAACTCATTTCCACTTAATCATCTCTGGATGTGGTGTTATAAAATTCCCCATTTATCCTACGTGCAGGGCTTTGGAATGATATAAACTGTGGTTATCCGAATCCCTACATATGTGAAAGGCACAACAGTTCCATTAATTCCACTGTTCCTCCAACAACATTTTCAACTCCAAGAGGATGTCGTCCAACTTGGCTTTCCTTTCGTGATAAGGTACTGTAACAAAAACAGTGCATGTTGGATATTTGGCAAAGCATTATATGGAAAACAATGGTATTACCTAATACTGCTATTCCTTATTAGACTATTGCTGTCTTCTACAGAGAGATGGTTGATGCCTGCATGCTTTTCCTTGCCTGCCTGCCCACCCACTGCTTTGCAGGAAAGATGCTTTTTTGATGCTTGTAATGAATGCAGATGAGCATATTCAGTTGCAAAAAGTGAGTGACAAAAGTCACTCACTAGTAATTTCTTCAAAACTTTTGATAGGCATTTCCTAAAGACTTTAAACAGAGTTCCTGAAGTACTGATGCTTTGGTCTTGATGTTTTTTAACCAAAACATAGTGCTTTTTTAGTACTGAATACATTTTATCTTCCTTAACCTGACTAACATGGTAAGCTTTGCAGAGTCAAATCAATAAACAGGCAGACTAATCTCAGTCATGCATAAGTTAACACTGTTACCTGACTGTCTATAAAAAGTCAGTCTTTGCTTATTTTCTAGATGTTTCAGATTAAATCTAACGCGTCTTGTTAAGCAAAACACTTTCTTAAGACCTTTAATTTTAATATAGAACGAGGACCAAGAAAACCCCCTTCATTTTAAGACGAACGTGGGATTTTTTTTTTCAGATAAATGCATTATTTTACTGTCTTTTCTCCATCCTGCTTTGCTTAAAGCAGTGGTTTTCAATATTTGAGGGATATTTGAGTAAAGATAACATATAGAGAATTTGTTCATGTTTTAGTGTTACAAAATATTTGGATCTACAGAAGATGAACGTGTCACTTGGCATGCTGCACGAACAGCTTGCATGAATTTAGGAGGAAACCTGGCCACTATCCCTAATGAACAAGTGCAAGGTACTGTGTATAGTTTTGTACCAACTAGATGAGACTATATTTGATTTTTACAGGATAGCTATTGTATTTGTGTAAAGACAGGATTATAATAATGACTGCACATCTTGATTTTTGTTCCAAAACATGACTTCTAGAAATTTACAATGAAGTCTTCACCTGAATCTAACCAATTTTAATGTTGGCTTAGGTATACATATAATGTCTATTTGTCCTGTCAGCTAAAGTAGTGCTTTTTATGCTTACACATGATGCCAGCTGGACCCAGCAAGTTCCATTGCAAATGATGTAGTTCACTAGGTGGCATTAACTCGCTGCATGGCTTTCCTATTAACTCAAGCAGAATACCTTTAGGATTAGAACTTGCTGACTCTTGGCAGCTTGGGACAGAAGTTTGACTGTTCATATTCCCACCCACAACTCACGAAAGAGGTACCATTCTTTTCACTGAAAGAGCTTATTTTAATGAACCGAAAGCTCGTCCCTGACTGGGGGAGATGAGCAGAGGGAAATTACCTCTCGCTTGAATAAACACGGCACACATTCAAATGAAAAAATGGGGAAGCTTTTGATAGATGCTATTATCATTATCTTTTTAGAAATACTGTTTTATAATGAAGTGATGAGAAATGGATTTTACACAACACATACTGTTTGTGAACTCAGAAGAGCATACTGAAAAATCAACCATTGTGAAACAAGTCTATGTTGTAGTCTGAGCAATTAAATAGATTAGACTGCTGACATGAATTTTTTACTACTTATGTTGTCTGCATTTGAAGTGATGAAAAATCAAAATTCCACTTTCCATACACAGTTAAATACTTCTCCAAAATACTTTCTATAGTACAGATTTCAGGTGGTTCACGCACCTGGCTTGAAATCTAGGTAAAAGAATCATGAGCAATAAAGCTATTAGCACAAAACAGTTGTTATTGCTGTCTGTGTAGGCATAAAGACTTAAGTTCCTCATATAGTTTCTGACAAAACTGCAAATCTAACATTTGGCAATGAAGTCTACGTGTTTCATGTCTGGAAAAAAAGTTGTGTTCATTTAAAAAGACTAAATAAAGGAAAACATTTGATAGAGCAGACAGAAGTTAATCTATTTTTTGCAAAGAAAAGTGAGCTTGTAACACTGACTGCAGCCGTTGGCAAAAGCTGTAACATGTTCATTTTATCACCATGTGCAATGTATTGGGGATTAGGGGCTGATGGATGCCAGCTGATCTAGCCTGCTCTACTGGAGAGCTACCCACACCAGCTAATACACACAAGCCTGGACTTGGGCAAAGCTGTGGTAACAGATTTGCTTCTGATTAATAGTTCTGTTGAGACCCATATTAAGCATGTTGCTTGTGCCTTCTGTCCCCTGCTAAGACAGTTCAGGCTTTTGTTCAGGTGTTCCAGGAAGAGAAGAAACACTCTTGCTGTTCTGTAACTTGTGAAGATGCACAAGCTGTAGGTGATCAATGGTGCTGTCTATACAATGCCATTAGGGAATAACCACCCTGGTGGCATTATCAAACATGAATGTGATCTAGATAGCTATATATTTCTAAGTCAATTGTGGGACTAGGATTAAAAAATGTCTTGAAACATTATTTAAAACATTTCTATCAGGCTTTTGAAATTCCTCCCAGTACCAGATTAGATACTTAGCTGAAGTATTTTGCCCAAAGCCACAGTTCCTTGTTCCTTAAATTCAAAGTTACCTCCTTGTAATCTTACCTGCTTGCATTGTCAACAATTAAGTTCTCTCCATTTCAGAAAAAATATTTAATGTCACCATTCTCAGTGAGGCCAGACATTTCTGTTGTCCTTCATTAAAAGTATTTATCTCTATCTTTGCCTTCCTTTCCCTCTAGCTTTCCTCACTTTCCATATGAAAGATTTTGTTACTGATACATGGATTGGATTAAATGATATAAACCATGAAATGAGGTTTCTCTGGACAGATGGAACAGGAGTTTACTTCACCAGTTGGGCCAAAGGCTTCCCATCAGGACGCATGGATTTATACTCATACGATGGCCAGGTAAATGGCAATTGCAAATTGTTCACTGAAATTTGGTTTTAGGTTGCATTTATGCATTTCTTGTGCTTTGAGACATGTTACTGCTTGACTTATTACTTTTATACATGTTGGTGAAGCCACTGAGGTATGAGGGACACCAGAGCAAGGGATCGTGCTGGTGGAGCCCTTCTGCAGCAGCTGAACTGCAAGGAAAACCTCGGCAAAACCGGGGAAGAGAAGGCGAGAGAGAGAGGTGGAGAGGGAGAGAGGTGACAGGATCTGTTGAGCGCTCGTACAGAGACTTGCTTTGGATTTCAGTTCTCTGCATCCATGAAGGCTACAGTGCTTCTGTGTTCACCCTGCATTCTCTCATAAGCTCTGGTAAAGGGGACAGTGGGATTCCTGCCTCATGACATTTGTCCCAAAAGCACATTGAACGAGCACATCCTTCTAGTCTTCTGATCACAGCTGTGCCTGAACTTAGTAGGTATCTCAGTTGGCATGTAGCTTGCTTGCAAGGGGAACTTAGAGACATTCCCTTCAAGCAGCCAAGTCTCACACAGAAGCAAATTCTCTCAGTCACATGTGCAGAAAGGGCATCCTTTTAGACGGAGATGGCCATTCAGGTTTTATGAAAAAAACACCAAAATTAAAGGAAATTAACATCACTTCCCCTATTTCTTCATCTGATAAGTCACAGAGCTCCTCTCTCTGATCTTATATATTTCTATAGTTCTGTTCCATGGAACTACAGCACATTATAGTACTAGCTTTATTTCTCTTGAATGTCATTTCTAATATATAAATCCTACTTTTATGTATACAGTCCTTTTTTCTGTTTTTCAAAGTAGCACCTCTGACCTTCTTACCTTCATAGAGGGAGAAAATTTGGGAGAATTCAGAGTTCAAAAGAGAAAGTGTCTTTGAAACTTTACTTCCTTGAGGAACGATATATGCTTTTATCTTTTTATGAAAAGTACTAGGATTTCTATGAAGTCTTCTGTGAAAACTTACAAAGTCCCAATTTTATATATCTCAGATTTATTTCTAAGTTGGCTTGACCTTAGAAAACACCAATTTATCATGGTTAATACCAATTACTATGCAGCTGTTCAGTTTGAAAGATTTAAGTCAACGCATTTCACTTGCAGATGAAGTGTTTATCTGTGTATCTCCTCCTGGACAGAAAACAAAGTAAATAAACTAAAACGTGGATGCTTAGTTGCGTATTTGTACACACATATCCTTTTGCATTCATCACTGTTTGTTTAACATGTGCTAATAAGTTCTAGCTATTGTGTCTATATCAGACGTTGAAATGTCACTGTAAAGGTGGTACTGACAGTTCAATGGCTGATTTTGGGCAGGAGCAGTTCTAATTTTGCTGTGTAGAGTGTTACAGCTTGCAACAATACACTTAAAGATTGGAATGTCAGAAATGTTCATTGCCTGTTGTGGGTCCAGTTTTTATACTGGATCAAAGGTAACTTTTTATCTACAATAGTAATTTCTCTTTCAATTGTTGGTGGCTTCCTTTCTCTCCATGCTGCATGCCTGGAAAGATGAGAATACTGGAGCTTCTCTGGTCTACTTAATCACCCCACTATTAAGAAATTTGTGAAGTGCGAGAGCAACAGAACCTCCACATCATAAAACTTATGCTGTTAAATAATACAAGGTTATGAGAGTAAAACTGAAGCCATTACTTGTGTCTGAAGATGTAAAGGGGGGGATGACAGTTTCATATTTGCTTCTTTTTGCTATTTGTAAATGATTTTATATCTTTTTGCCTTGAGGCTGATTGTGTTGTCATGAGAAACAGTCCTGTTAAAGAAGCAGGGAAGTGGGCTGATGAGAGTTGTGATACCAGCAGAGGATATATATGCCAAATTAATGCAGGTACTTGTCTTTTTAGTTAAAACACAATCAGACTTTATGGTTTTTCAGTGAATTGCTTGGCTGTATGGATTTCAACATCATTTCACTTCCAATAAATATACATCCACAAACTGTTTTCTAAATGTTTCACTTGTGTTAGAGGGTCCAGTTAGAGTTACTGCTCTCAGCTGAGCCTTCCCCGGAACTGCCATTTTGCTGCCTTCCTGACCTGGAATTTGTATCTGTATCTATGTGTCTAGTATGACTCCTGACATGATATTTGTTCCATTGATTTGTATGTCATTTTCTGAACACATGGGGTTTTTTCCATACATATTCTGGAAAATGCTGTCTTTTACCTGTAGCATGAACTGTTTGAAGCACAACTGTAACTTACCTACACTGAACTTGCAGTAATTAATCTCCAAAAAGAAAGTTAAAAAGCAGTGTAAACCTGTATTTAAGTATTTGATTTCTTTTTAAGGACTGGTCTGTTGTGGAATTTTCCTTTCCTTCTCTTGGAAAAAAAACACCCCAAAAAACCAAAACAAAAAACTCTGGAAAACAGCACAGTCTCTGCAAAGAATTTAGTTTGATGAAAAGAATATTTTATTAAAGAATCTGAGATTTCATCTAATCCTAAATAATTTTAGTAAATCTATTCTGGAGGATTATAAAGAATGCTCTTTTACTCCTTGTCAGAGGTTGCTTTCATCTACCTTTCTACAGTTTTGTAATTGATTTTTATTACTGATATTGACTTAAAGAATAGTACTTCTAACTCATGTTGTCAAGTCAGGGAATATGAAATCAAGAAAAAAGGTTTTTTATTTACTCCTGTTTGCAACTGCAGTGAAATAATAATCTCCTTTTGAACAAGTGTATGGGTCTTTTTTCACCCTTTATTTTACAGATGCTGAGTTTCTGCCTTCTACAAGTTCATCCCCATCCAGCATTATCCGTTATGGTAACAGTAGTTATTTGTTCATCCATACCAAAATGCAATGGGAGGATGCACGAAAAAACTGCAAACGTGATCAATTTGACCTTTCCAGCATCTTAGACCCCTACAGTCATTCATTCCTGTGGCTAAAGCTATTAAAGTATGGGGTGCCTTTGTGGATTGGTCTAAACAGTAATGTGGTAAGATCATCAAAGTAATTGAATGTGATGCTGCTTTTCTTATGGACAAATCAAGAATAGAAAAGCCTTATCCTAGCTCTTTCCTATAGCTTATTAGTTTACATCCTGGTCCTAAATACTTTTGTTTGAGGTCTGATTTACAGGTGGGAATCCATCCTCTTCCAGTACTTTGATTAAATTTTATGTGTTACATGGTTTTCACACTTTGTGACATCACACTGTGTGCTTCTAAATGAGACATTTTAGGCTAGCATCTTGAAATATCTCTGTATATATGGTGCATTTGAGATAAAACCCACATAACTTCAGATGCATAGTAGAAAGCATTAATTCTAAATGACAATACTTAATTTTCAGAAATAGAATGAAATGTTATTGCCATTACTCTTGCAACATTTTTGGGGCTAGTTAGTTAAATAATCAATTGGTTTACCAAATTAAATTTTATTTGTTTCCCCTCTCCTAGCTCTTGGATATTTTCTTTCTTTCTGGATGTTAAAACACACTACCCTTTGTTCTTGGCACAGACACTTTTTCCACATTAACTCCATTTGGCTGAGCACATGAAAGAAATTCAAATGTGTGAACATAACACACCACTCCCTAAAACCCTAAAAAGATTAAAAGATTACCCTAACCTAATCAACAGGGTGATTCACTAAATTCACCAACTTTGGTGGGAAAATATTAAGGTTTTAAATGTAGCGTAATTTAAAATAATCCACATTTCTTGAAATTTGGGGTGAAACAGAGAGCACAAAAATTAGTCATCAGACTTTAACTCCTAAAAACTATTTAAAATGACATTTTCTTAGTCCCAAATTAACAGTTTTGTAAAGTTTAAAATTAATTCCCTGTCACCTACCCTGCTGAAAAGCTACCTTTTGCTGAAAAGCATTTGTTGTTCTGCTGTTTTTTCAATGCATAACTATTGTTACAAAACACATTTAAAAGTTTGAGCCATTTGAATTCATTACTGATTTCTACAAAGAAACCTTCTAGCACAAGGTTCTGCATACATTTGACTGATGAAGGAATGGTTAATACTTAGAATTTAATCCTTCTTCTTGATTTGTTTTGTTCTTAGACCAACGGGCGTTATGAATGGATTGATAACTGGAGAATGAAATATACTAAATGGGCTGAAGGGGAACCAAAACAGAAATTGGGCTGTGTCTATCTAGATGTCTCTGGAGCCTGGAAGACAGGATCCTGCAATGAAAGTTACTTCTCTGTTTGCAAAAAACCTGATGGTAAGAAATTCAATCTAACCATTGCAATTAAAATTGTTATCTCTTTAGAGTTCACTGTGCTGGCTTGTTTGTTGAGATATACTTAGATGCTTCTATCTATCTATCTATCTATCTATCTATCTATCTATCTATCTATCTATCTATCTATCTATCTATCTATCTATCTATCTATCTATCTATCTATCTATCTATCTATCTATCTATCTATCTATCTATCTATCTATCTATCTATCTATCTACCTACCTACCTACCTACCTACCTACCTACCTACCTACCTACCTACCTACCTACCTACCTACCTACCTACCTACCTACCTACCTACCTACCTACCTACCTACCTACCTACCTACCTACCTACCTACTTACCTACCTACCTACCTATCTACCTATCTATTTTAATTTCAGGAGCTAAATATATGAAATAATTAAAATTTGCTTGTATTGAATAGGGCTGCTTTAAAATGAGAGCTGAAACATATTAAGGCAGTGTGACTGCAAATAGCCATCACTTGACATTAATAACGTTAAATATATTTTGCAAAGCTAAGACTCACGTTACTCTGCTATTTATTCTGATACTGACTAAGCATGAAAGACCAAAAATCTCAAAAATCAAAAGGAAATGAAAGGTGTCCATATGGTTCATGGCTAGCTATGATATTGAAGGGGGAACAGCTTTTCAGCTTTTCCTTTTATAACTAAACAAAAAACTAAAGGTGGTACAGAAATTTGTAAGGATGTTTCTTCAGGCTGCCCTATCTAATGTTTACCTACCTACCTACCTACCTACCTACCTACCTACCTACCTACCTACCTACTTACCTACCTACCTACCTATCTACCTATCTATTTTAATTTCAGGAGCTAAATATATGAAATAATTAAAATTTGCTTGTATTGAATAGGGCTGCTTTAAAATGAGAGCTGAAACATATTAAGGCAGTGTGACTGCAAATAGCCATCACTTGACATTAATAACGTTAAATATATTTTGCAAAGCTAAGACTCACGTTACTCTGCTATTTATTCTGATACTGACTAAGCATGAAAGACCAAAAATCTCAAAAATCAAAAGGAAATGAAAGGTGTCCATATGGTTCATGGCTAGCTATGATATTGAAGGGGGAACAGCTTTTCAGCTTTTCCTTTTATAACTAAACAAAAAACTAAAGGTGGTACAGAAATTTGTAAGGATGTTTCTTCAGGCTGCCCTATCTAATGTTTTGGAACTGAAACTCCTATTACTGTCTTCTGATAATGCCTTCTGCATTGCATGATATTAGGTCACAACTTGTATGACCGAGTTCATATGGGCCCTAATTCAGCAAAGAAGTCAGGTATGAAAATATGTTTGTGAATAAAGAATTGAGCGAACTTCAGAATGTATTCAGAAAGACAAAAACATGCTTGGATTCTTTGCTAAATTAGATTTCTTGAAACTACAGTTTAAGTACTTTTTGTTCACATCTTTAGGACTTTTTCCCATTATTGCGTTGTAGTAAGCAGTATAAGCTGGCAAGGTTACCTTTTAAAGACCTGAGTGAGTTTTCCAACACTTGATTAGAATAATCTATTCATTTTAAAAGAATGTATGAGAAGCTATTTCTTTAAATTTTATGCTTTCTTTTTTTTTTAATCTATATTTTTTAAATAGTTCAAGCTCCCACTGAGCCCCCTCAACTTCCAGGAAAGTGCCCTGAATCAGAACAGAAGTCTTGGATCCCTTTCCGAGGTCATTGCTACTACATTGAATCTTCATCTACAAGAAATTGGGCCCAGGCATCTTTAGAATGTCTTCGACTAGGTGAGTGTCTTCCTTAAGAAAATAACAGGTATTTCTGACTTGTTTTTCCTCTCAGTGGAAAGCTGAAGATGTGCTATGTGTTTTTGTAATTTCAAGGATGGTCCAAGTGTTGGACAAAACAGTTGCATCCAATTATTGCCTTAATTTGGGAGGAGATGGAAAATAGGTGTCTACAGTGACACACACTGTCTCTCATGCATGTGGAACCAAGCTTTAGAGGAGCTGTTTAGCCTGGAGTGGAGATCACTAAAGTGGAAAATTTGTACTCTGACCCTGCTAGGATGCAGCCAGCCTTATCCACATCAGTCACTAAATCTTATTTTAATGCCATTTTTGTTTTCCTGATCTAATTTACTCCTCGATTATTGCAGTATTATGCCAATGGAATGGAAGTTACACCTCTCTAGGATACATAATATAATAGTAAACTAGGCTTGCTTTGTTGTTTCATTCTTCCAACTTCCTTCTCAGGAAAAGTAATCTAAGACCCATTATGTCAGCCCTCATATACCTATAGCATTGGTGTTTATAGTGTTGGTGACAATGTGGCTTTGGTGTCTAACCTCCCAACAGAGTATGCAGAGATCTTGTTCATGCTGTCAGTGGAACTCAACACAGAGTTATCTTCACTGGAAGTATATATTGACACTTGGTGAGGTGAATTGCACTCTAAACTCCACTGACTGGATTTATAACAGCTCCACTGATAATAAAGCTACCAGTGAAACCCATGTCTAATATAGACACCTAGAGATGGGTAAGAAGAATCTTACTTTTTCTGCTAGTACTGAGGTTCTCATAAAATAGTATGTTACCAGCTCTAGTTTGAGAAACTAGTATTTTGGAGGGAAGGTCAAGTTTTGGTGTAGGTTCTTTAAATCTTACTATATTCTCCACATCAACATTTGCATAACATATGGGTGAAGACACTTGATAATATACTTTTAAATAAAGAAGTCTCCATAATATAACACTCTTGCTACTAGCTTGGTCTTTTATACTATGACAATTTTTACAGGGTGACCCATTTCCACAGTCTTCTGAGTTCTTTCGATGACAGGACAGATGCTCAGTCTTTGAAAGCTGCAGAGTATGTTCTTAGCTATGCATAGTCAAAAGGACCTTGATAGCTGTACACATAACAGCTGTTACCTGTTACAGACATGTCTCTGCTTTAAGTAGAATGATTATAATTTTGAATAAGCTTGTAAGAGAACTAAAGTAACATTTCTTTTCTTTGGAGGACTGAGTTTCTGAAACAGACTTTCAATAAGAAGAGTGGGGGGAAAAATGAAACAGTTTTAAGGTGAAGTTTGAGAGAAATTAAATGATGATGTTGCATGTTCTAGCAGGTGCCTCCTCTCACTGGCTCTGGTTGTCTGCAGTTGTCTCACATCTTTGTTGTTGGAATCTGCAGTTAGACCAAAATTGCCTTTTTCAATTGAACTTAAATTCCTGAAAAAAGACACTGACCATTTGTTTCAGCAGGCATGGTAAAAGACTGGCATTATATGGAATTTAAAATTTGGGTACTTATGACTTCATGTCACTGACATCCCCATTCCCTCAGTCTGAAAGATACTCTGGCATTGACTTGTCTTTACAGCTTTCATGCCTGGACACTAGGGCAACGACAGCCCTAAGAGGAGCCTGAGCAGGGTGCCCCAAGCTCTGAGTCCGTAATCTGAGTTAATTGTGCCTCTATGCTCCTGTGCTTGTGGAGACTGGCCTTTGATAGACTAATGGCTCCTGTGATGGGCCTGGGAGTAGTCATTGAAGGGGTTCCCCATCTGTCATTGTCTCTCAGTAATCTCTTGTGAATGTGCAGTGAAGATTTTTATCAAACTACCTAACAGTAGCCAAGCATCTGATATCATTCAACTAAAGAGGAACAACTAGAAAAACATAAAGACTACAGTGAAAAAAGAGGAACATTCCACATTCTCTTATATTCTGCAGTTCCTGCTGCACTCTGGGTTTTGTCTGCAGCTGGACATTTTCCAATTATATCTTACTCAAAGGAAAATTCTGAACCACACTGGAATTTATCAGTAGCTCAGCAGTGATTCAAATTACTTTTATATTTTAAACCTCTGTGAATTTGTCTTCCGCATCTGAGAAAAAAAATGTCTTCACAAATTCAACAGCCAAATCTAAACAGTCAAGTGCCAAAATTAGCTATTGCTCCATATGTTAACTGGATTCCAGCCCCACACTAAAATGAAGTGAAAATATACTTTCTTCAGTGTTTAATGCAACTCCATACAAAGTTGTGTAGCTCATTCTGTCTGCTGGCTCCATGCTGTGATTTCTTGATTTTGCTAGAGCAAAGTGACTCATGGTGTACGTGGATGACTAACAGGGTACTACGCTAACTGGGAAACAGATGACCTAGATGATCTTTCTTTCTCTGATGGCTATAAAGAGAATGTAGGAAAGTAAACAAGACCTGGTTAAAGAGTTGCATTAAGGACTGCACTTCGGAAAGTCAATAAAGTCTGTGATATACATGAGTTATACACAGTGTCAGAAAATGTTTAATCATTAATATGTGAAGCTATATGGTATACAGACTGAAGTTATACATACTTTTTACCAAAACCTTTTAATTTTGTTTAGGCTATTTTTTTAAAAACACATCAGTAGAAACTTAAGGTTTAGACCATACTGACCTGTTGTATTTCACCTGGAGCTGTTGTTCAGTTATGCTGCTATTTCCCAGTGGATGAAGACACAAGCAAAATGCTAGTGCAGTGTCATGGAAATAATAAGAAATCAATCAGCAACAATGCCAGCATTATTTGTAAGATATTTTCCTAAGTTAGTTTCCGTTTTGAACTTCAAATGGCATTTGGAATATGACACAGATAATTGGTGTCAAAAGTAAGACTGGCATTTGACAGGGTAATTACAATGCTTTTCACTGTGAAACTTATGTCTCTAAGTGATTTTTTTATCTGTTCCTTCCAGGTGCTTCTTTGGTATCAGTTGAAGACTCAGCTGAAGCCAACTTTCTGGCATACACCATTGAACCACTTGAAGAGAAAGTATCAACATTTTGGACAGGAATGTACAGGAATGTGGATGGTAATTTTTTTAGTTTTGGCATCTTTGATGAATTGCTGTCACAAGCTGTTTTCACATAATTTCACATTACACTTCTGAAATACATAAAACTTAGATTAAAAAAGGTAATTTATTATCATCATAAGGGAAGCTGATCAGTTGTAATCAGGCAGTAACTAGCAATAGATAAAGAAAGGTCAAACAGAGAAGGTCCATCTTAAAGCAAGCAAAGTAATTCACAACAAAGTAAGGCACCAGGGTGCACACAGCGAGTACAGACAGAACCACAAAGAGATTTGAGCCAAAGCCAAAATGTGGAGAGGCCCTGGGTTCTTATGTTTGTCATAGAGTTACTCCAATTTTTGAGATAGAGAATAATGTGGCTAACATCACCTCTCATTTTTGGAATCACCATCCTGGAATGACCCGTCACCTGTCTTTAGTTACAGTTGGCCCTCAGCACAGCTTCACTTTGAAGTTGGAATTGTTTGTGTCTTTGAAATTGTGTACCACAAGTTTTTGTATTTTCTGCCTCACTGTAAGGAAGGAAGGAAGGTAAGAGACAACAAGCAACAGGCTGCTTTAATTAAATCTCAAGATGCTCATTATTGTTTTTTTTCAACAATACAGTTAGCTTTAAATTAAATAGATATTTATGTCTTTATGATGGACCTAAAAGTTACTTCAGCCTTGTGCCGTTCAGATTAATCACAGAATCGTCAGAGGTGGAAGGGACTTCTAGAGCTCATCTAGTCCAACTCCCCCTGCTAAAGCAGGATCACCTAGAGCACATTACGCAGGACTTTGTGAGTGGATCCAGGCTGGTTTTGATTATCTCCAGAGAAGGAGACTCCACAACCTCCCTGGACAACCTGTTCCAGTGCTCTGTCACCATCACAGTAAAGATTTTCCTCATATTTAAATGGAAACTCCTTTGTTCCAGCTTGTACCCTTTGCCCTTCCTCCTGTTACTAGGAACAGGGAACAGAATGATAACGTTCTTAACGTGGTCATAAAGACAAGAGCTGCTTCAGAAAGTAAGTGTCATTGTATTACTAGATAGTAAAAAATATGAACATTTTTACAAGAAAAAACCCCAATTTTCTTGCTGAGTCTAAGAAATTACTTGTTTGAGTACAACTTAAGAGTCACAAGGGACACATTTTTCTAAATAAATAACACTATCCAAAGAAAGTAAGAAAAAAGAAACAGGAAGGAAGAGACAAAGTCCCAGCATGGCTAAACAACAGTGATCATAAGATTTCTGAAGCAGGAACATTGCGTGTGTAAAGTCAGTGAGAAGGAGCAGAAAAAAATAATATGGAAGAAAATTTGACTTAGAAAGACTTCAGTGGGGGCTTTGAAAAAAGTAATACAGAACTTCCCTACAAATTACTGAAATAAAGGGCATTCTGTTGAAGATAAATTATCTTCTGACATCAGTAATTTCTATAAACCAAATAACCGATACTGCCCCATTGCAATAAATTGTTGGAGATCTTTAAATGTTCTTGAGTTTGTAACATCACATGCCAGACTCACCTGCCATTTGTCAATAATTGATATTGTATCATCTGCATAAAAAATTAAGGTCAACATGAAATATCTAGAAAAAGTCTAGAGGCTTGTCTCCAAGAGTGACCTCACTTAGATTTGTCAGGAAGGCAATAAATGTGGAGCAGATTTCAAGATGGAAGTGAATACTATCTTGTTTTTCCATAATCAATGTTTTTCCGATTAGGAGAATGGCTGTGGCTAGACAACACTGCAGTGAGTTTTGTTAACTGGAATGTAGGAGAACCTTCCCCTCAACAAAATGAGCATTGCGTTGAAATTTACGCACACTCTGGGTACTGGAATAATATCTACTGTTCTTCCTACAAAGGCTATGTCTGTAAAAAGCCAAAAAGTAAGTGCTACATTTGTACATTTGTTTCGTTTATAGATTATACTCTTTATGTGCTAGTATTAGATGGCTGTTACACCCTGTGCATTTTTTCTGGGTGTTTCTGGGTTTTATGAATGCCGAGGGATACACATTTGTATGCCAACAACAGGAATAATTCTTGTCAGAAAGTAGAAAAGGTGACCAGTGCTTGAGTTCCTTCAGAACTGTTTAAAAAAATATTATGTTTCTGTCTTAACTGTACCTTTGCTTATATCCCTCTGGGAGTCTCAATTGCATGCCTTTTCCAAGTATGAAGTAGTGTTTCTGTGAATTGCATATTTATGAATTGTGAACCAATGAACAGTTTGGGACATTTTGTCTCTGTGTTCTCCTGTTCCCTTCCTGGGAAGATGGAAGAACAAAAAGCAGAGCAAATAACATACTCTGAATATGCTAAACTGGAAATGTTTTGAAATAACTGAATGGACAAATTTTATAGTAAGGACATCTAGTGTGTGTGTATTTCTAAAAGTCATCTTAATAATTTCTTCCAGCATGTATTGCAATATTAAAATCTCTTACTCATGTTTACTGAGAAAGTACTACAATACGCCCACTTCCTCTACAAGACTGGAAATGGGAGAAATTCTGCTGTCTTGTCTATAAATTTGCTCTTATGCAAAACTACTTCTACGTACTCAGATCCTTGTAATGATGGCTGTATCTTCCACAGGAAATACTGCAGAACTGTCAGATGCAACCACCCACTTAGAGCCTACTTACTCATCTTTTTACATTGTGACTGACAAACAAAAAAGCACTTTATTTTCATTCTCTATCCAGAACAGTCATAAATCTAGGTAACAAGTGCTAAAATCAAAGGCCACCCTTTATTTTCGACCATTCAACTCACCTGTTTTGCTGATGCTGGCATTCACCTGTTTCTATGCTGAGCTCTTTCCAGGAGCTGAAGCGATTGAAAGGACAGTTATTTTTCTTAGGATTAGCTCCAGCCAGTCTAGCCTCCTGAGCTGGAATACCATGTAGTCAGACAAATGCCATTGTTAACACAAGGACTAGATAGGTACTTACACAGGAGTAGGATACAATTGAGTTCTACACAGTCTGAGTTGTAGAAATGCAGCTTGGCTCAGCACAATTTTGCAAAGCTGTGATAATGCTCCATTTGGAGAATTAAAAACAAATAAATGTATTAAATAGCTATAGGCTAATAAATGGGGTATTAGAAGTATGATTTTATTTGCAATGACTTGTTATTTTTGCTGTTTTCTGAAGAGGCTGCAAACACAAACCTGTGGCTGAAGTCTTCCTGTAAAATAGATGCTATTTTCTTCTCCAGTTTAATGTAATTTTTTCCTTGGTAATTTGAAATCCTGTAATGGGTCTATTCCATAAATAATACAACTTTATTTCTTAAGTAAGGAGGTACTATAAAGAGCTGCTCAGCAGTTCAACAGGTGCTAGTTGATCATGCTCCAAACAGTGAGTAGTATAGTGTGTTCATGGCATCCTACTCTCACTTTTCAGGACAGCAGATTCGTATTCCTCAGTTAACTGCTTGTTTAACTGTTTGTAGGTAGACTTAGCATGTGGTCATCTCATTCTTAAAATCAAAGCTGAAGTGCTTAATATGTCTGATCAGTGCTCTACCAAACTTTGTCAGTCAACATTTTTTTGCTCATTGGCCCTGGTCCTGTCACTGGGCACCACTGAGACGAGCCTGGCTCCATTGTCTTTACATCCTCATTTCAGATGTTTGTACACATTCATAAGGTCCCTCCTGAACCTTTGCTTCTAGGCTGAAAAGTTCCTGCTCTCTCAGCCTTTCCTCATGTAAGAAATGTTACAGTCCCTTCATCATCTTAATGGCCGTTCAGTGGACTTCCTCCAGTAACTCACTCTCGTTCTTGTACTGAGGAGCCCAGAACTGGACTTGACATGTAATTTAGCAAACAGTCAATGCTTCCAGCAAGCACTTCAAAAGTGTGGCTGCATAGAGAGCATGCAGCATTTTAGGGTTTTAAAAAGTCGTGAGATATTTTTAAGGAAAATGGTTGTGTAAAACCTACCAGAATAATGTTGGGCATGGAGAGCTAGACTGTGGCTCACGTGGCTTTTCAGCCTGACGGCTGGCAGTCCTTACTGCCAAAGAGCACGTGGAGATCCTAGAGCTATTCACGAGGACAGGAGAGAAAGTGGTGATATTCAGGCAAACTGACACCTTCTGTTACACAGAGGCTTTTATAATTTTCTTCTGTTTCCTATAGATTTGCATGCTGCTACAGTGCAGGCAGATAACAAGCTGCTTTTTATTGTAAACAGCTTTAATAAATACTTTTCTTGATAGAAACTCTTGGAAATATCCAAGTAATCATGACTAGTTTCACTTTGAAGAGCTAGACATAGAGTAATATTTGTCTGTAGATGTAAAACTAGATGGCTGTCAGACACTCCAGCAGAGTTCTGGAAAACCTTTGGAAGTCAGGATTGTTGGATTATTAATTAAATCAGGCAGTGTAATTGGGGAGACTGGAAGAACATTTTAAATTCCTGGACTTACATTTTTCAGAATTAAATATGCTGCATAGATTCTAAGATGTAGTTACAGACTGATCTAATGTCCACACAGCAAAACGTGGATCTTCATCTTAAATGATGTCCAGTTTTACCAGCAAGTCAGATTTTGTGGTAAAGACATTACATTTTAAATAAGCTACAAACATTTTAATTTGGATGTGATACGTGCCAAGACAGTTTGTAGTTTAGGAGTGATTTTCAATATGTTTCAAATATCGAAATAAAAACCAGAATAGTATAATAACATAATTCTTTTTCAATGTTTTCAAATGCCAGCAGTAGAAATGCCACCAGCAGCTGAAATGCCACCAACTGAAATGCCTACAAATGGTAAGAATATTCTCTTTCTAGTAGACAAAAACTAGTCCCATGTAAGATCACAAGCAGAACAAATGTTCTGTATCATGTCTTTTACATTTTCTGATATATCTGTGTACCATATCTCTTCCCTAGAAGCAGACTGTTTCCTAGAATACAATATACTCCATTTAGTGTCCAAATGCAGGTTTAAAAAATAATAATTTGTAATATAGTATGCAATGTTAGTGTTCTAAAATAAATTAATTTTATGTTGCTACCTTTGTCTCTACTTATTTTGAAACAAATGAAACACTTTCTTAAAATATTACACTTTCTAAAATTGTTTCCAGTCATCAGATAAAGAGTATGTAGCATTCTCTTGATTTGTCTGTATTTGTTTTCAGCAATGACAAAGGATGAGAAGGCTCCTACTTTGAACCATGGTAAAACAGGTGTTGTAGTTATTGTTGCCATCCTCATCCTAGCTGGAAGTGGCCTTGCAGGCTACTTCTTCTACAAGAGAAGGAAGAATCGCTTGTCAACAAATGACAGCTTTGAGAACAATTTGTATTTTAATACTGATACAGTTCCTGGAACTAGTGACACAAAGGATCTTGTGACCAACATAGAACAAAACGAACATGCGACACTGTAATGTAATGAAAAAGAAATGTAATATGTATTGTAAAATGTAATGTAATAAAGTAAAATGTGCCTTGTTTTAATAAAAATATGGATTTAGAATTAAGCCAAAGCTATTTTCTCATGTGCAAATACTGTAGTAGCCAGTTTCAGTGTGTGCATAATATTATATACAGCAATTACTATATTTTGTAACCATTGTATAATGTGTAACATTTCATATCTCAGGATTTGATGACCCACACTGATGAGAGTGGGTCTTAAAAAAATAGTTAATATTGACTAATTATTAAATGGGTGCAATAAAGGAAGCAAAATGTAGATAGATCCACTTGAGAAAGATCACAAGATTTGAAGTTTCTGCACCAGATTTATTTCAAAACATGCTAATACACAGATTCTCCAAGCTATTCAGCAAACATGTCTCTAACTCTACCATCTTCAGTTATTCCTAGGGGTTTAACTACAGGGGTAATTACTAGATGACAAATACACATTCAGGCACATCCTGTTTGAATTACTTGGGAAAAAAATAATTTTATGATAAAATTTAAATTCTCACAGTTTCACACAACACAGAGAAAAAAGTATGTAGTTCTTGTAGTTTAGGTATTCTAATATTAAACAGGTGAAATCTGGGGGCAGACTTCTCTCTGGAATGGGGAAATTTGTTTGGTGTTAACTGCCAGTGTTCTGGCTGGCCACAACTGGGTTTGTCTGGGAGAGGGGATGAAGGTCATGGCAAATCTTCCTTCTTATCAGCACAACAGTTACTGAGGAGGGAAAGGAACACTATATGTGTTCTGAAGGTTGATAGGAGCAGTGGGTAGCTGTTTTGGTGATCACATATTGGTACTGCTCTCCTGTAGCCTCTCAATCAATAGAGTAAGTTTGTTAAGTGTGTGCAGAAAGTCAAGAACAAGTTAGCTTTACCAATGTATTAGTACTGATTTTATTTCCTATCTAAAAGGAATAGCTCAGTTACCATTTATGGAAATCTTAGATCCCCCAATGAGAAGTTTATATTAATAATTTTTTGTAAATCTTGTAAAATGTAAAACATGTATGACTCCTCACTCCCATACAAATATTTGCAAGTCTTGGTTTTGTGGTTTCGGATTTCATTCTGTGAAATAAACAATAGCTAGCTTTGATTTTTTTAAAATAGCTTTTCATTTTATTGTCTTACCTCTGTAAAACTCTTCAACCTGTTTAAATTTAAAAAGAAGATGATACAATTGTGAAGACATTCCATCTAAAATTGTGATTGAGAAATATATTAACCGTATTTTCCTGAATCTCTTCAGGGATTGCTTAAAACCAAGACAAAAATGTTAGCTGAATGCTTTAGTAAAAACCTTGAATTACATATGCATAGAGGTATGATGGGGAAATTTATCCTGAAATGCCTTTTCTCCTCTGGCTCTGCTTCCTTTCTCTTACTTACTTCCTTGCCTCTGTTCAGCAGCCTACTGCTGTTTCCATTTTCAATGCACAGTTTTTCAAGCATGTCTTTTCAAGGAGCGGCACCTCTAATGGTACTTCGTGCCATCTGTTGTGGCTTATGTGCCAGAAACCTCTTGACTAACAGATTTAAGATGCTAGGGGTCGCATAATTTCAATTATACGGAAAAGCTGTGACAGCTTTAAAGACGTGAAAGGGAAGGTGAAAGGTCAGGAGACCCTGGCTGCAATCCCAGCCTCACTGCACTGGCTGTTGTGCAAACAACAAATAGGAGCAGTTTGTACCCAACAGAAGTTCAGTCTCCTTCTGGGGCCCTGCGCAGTCTTAGGGCAGTGTCTGCAAACGTGGTTGGAAAGAAAATAGATTGAGGGGATGTCACATTTCTGGTGCTTTGCCATACTCATCAGGTACATCTCTGCAGCTAAAGAGTGTCAGGTGGAGAACCCAGCTACTAGAGCTTGGATAGTCCTGAACTCATTGACCCATTTACTCACTGTCCGAAATCCAGCATTGTCTTTGAGTAGATGACAGTTAAAAATGTTGTGCCAGTGAATAACAGGCAGCAGGTATAGCTGCTTCTGTGAAATGCAGTGTCTGTTACTCTCTCCTGCCCAAATGGGTTCAGAAAAAATAGAGGGCTTTAAGATAAGAAGATGTACTCTGAAGATGTATCTGCTTGGCCTGCTCATTTTAGGAAGAGTGTCAGTGAAAAAGAAAGATTTTCAGAACATGGGGAAATTTAAGCTACATGGTTTTCTGCCCTTCCTATTGGAATACAACGGAATTGAAGAAAGTTTCCTGTTAAAAAAAGCAAACATGAAAGCAGTGACATTTACAACACAGGAAATAATTATAGCTCCATGTAGTAAGATGAGCATTGACACTTTATACACAAAGTCTAATAGGAAGTTTTGAGTGGAATATAAAGAAATTAACAACCTTGAAGACTGAAAACAAAATGTAATTTAAAAGAAGATTAAATATAAGGTTTTTACCTGGGCACTTGTAATGATACAAAATACTATTTCTTGGTGGGTTTTTAAATTTTTATTTTTTTTTCCCCCCCAGCTAGTACATTTCAGTGATGGCAACTCATTGATTAGACTGTCTGAATCCAGAGCCAAGTCCCAGGTTTTTCAAATCATCATTCCTTTGTTTGTACTTGCGGCAAAACTGATCTTATACTTTCAATAAATATTGATAGAGCAGTCTCCAAACCAATGTTCTCTTTCCACACTCTCATGTTATTTCCATCTTCCCTGGACTGAGTTGTCATGTAATGGTTTTACCAAATTCAATGCAGTGATCTGGCGTCCTGTCCTCTTTTCCTGCTGCTAAGCTGCAACGTTCCTGAAAAATCATTGACTACATAAAAAAAGTTTCAAAGATTGGCCTGGAGAAATTATTTGTGTTGCTTTATTTGACTGAAAACAGAGCAGTATATCTTCCTGGAAATTATTCATAATCATATGGATGGAACATAATTTGTTACTTAGTGTATTCTGACCACCAATTCTTTTAGCCATTTCCTACTACCAGCTGCTAGTCCTGTTGGGATCTGTCAGTTGCCTTAGAACATCCCTGTTGCTCTTGTCATCTTTTATTTTGTCTCCTGAGTAGATGCCACTACTTGGGGAAGGTTTTGGGCTGTGTGATGCATAAATGCACATGCATATAGGAATATGGCTTTTGCTTTTCTGAAATATTCTTGATGTAAAATCCAGGGAAATAATTTTTCAATATTCAATGGCATGTAAAGGTTTGTCTCTTTGCACACTGCTGTGTTTCTTGAGACCCTTGTGCTTAACTTTCATTTCTCCTTTTTTCCAGAAGAGTTCAGACTTCAGAGAAAAGGTGGTGAATCTGCACACTGAGCGTAACTTCCTGCCTGGGAGCAGAGATTGCCGAAGGAACAATGCTGACTCCACACAAAACCAAGCAGCCTTTCTTCCTCCCCACTTCCAAAATTTCAGGCTGTGCTTTGCCAAGTGGAAGATGCATCCTGTATTTTCTGATTTTCTTTTTCACTTTGTGAGCTGTGGTGGAATCTGCTCAGACAAACCTACAAACACTGAGGTGAAGCTGACTTTATTATTCTTTAGGCTTTTTCAGCCTCTCTCAGTAGATCATGGATGACATTCCTTCACCAAACAGAACTTTCTTCAGAACAGAATTAGTTTCTTTTTTCCTTTTTGTAATTGTACTCGTTGCTTCCTGGTAGCGTTGGAGATGCTGAGATGTCGTACACAGCAGAAGCACAAGTCATTGCATCTCTCCTGCCTGTATAATAAATAAACCTATTTTTTTCCATCTGCACATCTGGAGCTCCTGAAAAAAAGGAGCAATGAAAGTTGGAAAGCTGAGGTTGCATAGTTGGGCATTCCCGTGTTGGGGAGTACTGCTTTACTCCAGACTCCATGCAACCATCTTTACACAAGCATCATGATTCACTGAGTAATTGACCATGCAACCTTCTCTTTTCTCTCCCACTTTCCTTGTTTCAGTGCTCTACTCAGGCTCCCATTTTTTCCATATTTTTGGTCTAGCTGTATCTGCTGTCCTTTAGGTCCCACTATTTCTCTCTCTGTTACAATTCTTTTTCTGCTCTAATTCCTTCTGTACCTTTTTAGGCTCAGTAAATAGTCAATTTGCATCTGATTCGGAGCAACAGAAGGAGGATCCCACATCTACTTGCAGTAGGTTTTCTCTGCGTATGACAGCATCAATTTTCAGGGAAAGATTTGCTGCAAAAAGCAGCCTCTTCTGAACATATCAAAACTGGGATTTTTCAAAGGCCGGATGCAAAAAATGATTTGGATCTTTCACAGGGGTGTGTTTTTCCTTTCCTACCCTCTCTCTGTTTCTAATTCTTTCACCTATCATGAAGGAGAGAGATTTTTCAAAGTAAAAACCAGAATTTTGTTAGAATGCTTGGAGAATGTGCACTTTATGGGGTACAAGCTTTCACAGATCGGTCAGATGAAAAATGTGGTGTAACTCCTTATCAGTTTAGTTTTCTTCTCCAGCAACAACTGAAAACTCACCATTTTCCAGTTACAGTTTACCTTCTTCCTGGACCTGGATGTTTTTTTTTTCAAAATTTGTTCACCTCTTGCTGTCAGTTGCATTGCTCCTGCGCATAGTTAGGGCTGAAGCAAAGCCAGATGCTTCCTGAAGAACACAGTTCCTGTTTTCTACAGCTTTTTCCTTCTCTATGGAACAGCAGACTTGGAAAATTCTGGTTATCTCTGATTCCAAGGTCCATAGTTACTTAACTGCACAGTGTCCCAGACAATTTGCTACACTACAGCATTGCACTCTGACTTTACCATCATTTATTGATACAGATAATTCTTCCTCTTCTTTTTTACTTTTTCCTTTTATTTCTGGTAGAGATGTTAATTTCGCCCTCTTCATAAAAATAATTAACCTGAATTGTAAGGTGTGTTTCCAAAAATCCTCACTAATACCTCTTAGATCTCATATTTCTGTGGAAGGGAAAAATTTTATACAGTAGAGAAACTAGCTTAGAAGGCAAAGTTTATTCATTAATGTATTATTTCAAAATTACTCATGTGACATAATGCAGTTCCTTATTTGCAGCTCAGAACTTCCCTGTATCTGTTGGGTCTTAAAAACTGGAAAGGATTGGTTAATCTGCTTCAGTGCAGGACAGTTTTCTTGCAACTCATAGATTTGCTCTTCAGCATCAATTTGAGGTGAAGGGGAGAAAGGAGTGAAACATTTGGCCATGGCTGTCTACCTGCTCCTGATTTTTCTTTTTTCCTTTAGCACATCTCTTCAAATGTCTGGTAAGTCCTTGTCCCCTGCTGATCATGGAGATTTGTAAGTTCTTTCTCGTGTTTTCCTGATGTCCTCCTTTTTGTACAGTGAGCTTAGATCTGTACACAGCATGTAATTTGAAACAGCTTTATTAAACTCTTGAATTTGGTGGTATTATATAGGAATTTTGCTTCCTTAACTCAGTTTTCAAGATTTATGAATGAAAGAAATACACTAACAGGTGTGAGTGTAGCATTGATTATGCTGATACTTGAAAATCAGCCTGCTAAATTCAGACAAAAGCTCATCTGAAATTACTCCAATGGAGGTCAGAATTGCTCAGATGTTCAGGGCAGTGTTCTCTTAGTGTGCACAGAACTGCTGGCAGGTATGTGCCTTGAGTTTCTTAGCTCATATAGACTATAGCATGCTGGTTGTTGCATATAAGAATCCTGTTTCCAAGCTGACAGCTTCAGGACCTTACATTTCAAACTCTCCTACTGCTGAGAGGAAAACAAATTAGTCTGTGTCTGCAGCTTTTGCACACAGGGAGCTCCCAGCTAGAGAACTGCAGGACTGCAGTGCTATTGCTTGAATGGCAGCAAGGACTAGCCAAAGCTGATCTAATCCGTTAATTCCTTCTGTGCATGTTTTTGAGAGACATCAAGTTGGCCCTCACTCATCCTCTGCTAACCTCCTCAAGAACAACTGCAGCAGGAAAGCTGTGCCAGGGGAAATGCCATCTGACCTGTTCAGGTCTGCAGGCTTTCAGAGAAATGTCACAGAGGCTGTGTGATCATTCCTTGGCAGCTCTAAAATGTGGGGGGTTATGAAGCCTCATTCAACTATTCTGCCTCCAGCAAGAATCCTTGGGTGGCAGTCAAGCTTAATGGCACAGCAGAGTGAGTTGGTGATGTTGCTGTCACTTAGAAGGGAGATAAGGGATGCAAGGTGAACTGCATAAAAGGTCAGGGTTTGAAGAAGGCTGAATTGTGCCCATTTTTTGAATGGTCTGAAGAAACACAACCCTCTTCTGCAGTGTCTCACATTTCTATTTACAAGTGTAGCTATTAATGGCACTTAGGATACTTTTAGCTTAGCTGTGCTCACAACTGAAGTGATAATGCTGCAAGTTGCAGCTTTCCTCCTGAGAAACTCACAAGTTTAACTCAGTTGCGCAGTTGCCACATATTTCCAAAACAACTAACCAAAAATGAAGAACACCCCACTTGCCTGATGAGCTGTAAACACCAATGTCATTCTGAGTCAAAGTAAAATTGGTTGAATTTTGAGTGTGTGAACCATTTTTAATAGCTCTAAAGCAAAAAGTCTTTTTTTACTTAGAAAACTAAATCCTGTTTAATATGTTGTGTTTGAAGAATTCATGAAATTTAATAAAGGTCAATTTTTAATGTGTCACAGTTTGACTTAGGTCCGACAACAATGCTCTCGATCCCCCCTCCCCCCAACCCAGGTAGGGAAGGAGAGAGAGAAAAAGAGAGAGACTTGGCTGGATTGAAAACTAAACTACACAGCTTTAATTAAAACACTAATGAATCATACAAGAAAATATATACAATTATATACAGATAGATTCAGGTATGGGCAAAAGCCTCTCGCCTCCCCCCACCCCAGCAACTCCCACAGCACTTCCCTGAACTGGGAAGAGTCCCGAGGAATCCCGAAGCTGCTGCTGGAGAAAGCAGAGAGTTATGGGGGTCACAAGAGATCAAGCCTGAGGATCGACGGTGATGGATGAACAGAGTCCTCCCTGGACGCCAGCCATGGACGGAAGAGAAGGGGAGAAGAAAAAGGAAGGAAGTTGTCTTCTGTGATCTCTGACCTTCCTCTGAGCTTACGTAGATATATGGAATGGAATATCTTTGGCCAATTTTGCTGTCCATCTAACTCAGCCTCCTACGGGGGGGTCACAGATCTCCCCATAGTGTCTGAGCCGGCAGAGTGCAGGTGCGGCCTTGAAGCCTCAGTAGTTAGAAAAACATTCCACTGTCTTATCAGCCTAGCAGAGCACACTGTTGCTAGTTACAAGAAAGCTTACTGAAGGAAAAAAAAATCAACAAAAAGAAAAATTGGCTTCATCCTGGCTCAAACCAGGACATAATGTTATTTTGAGAACAGTGTGATTTAAGAAGGGATGAGAAAAAGAGCAATTTCTTGAAATAGCTTTATTTTCAGCTTGTGTGTTGCCTTGTATCTTAAGCACATTTTTATGATTATTCTTCATAGTGATGATTAACTCCGCTTGGTTTCTTTCTCTATAGACTCTATGCATTAAATTTTTCTTGTAGCAGACTGTCAAATAGCAAGCAAATCACTTATCTCCTACAAAGTATCTCCTCAGATGTTTGCATTCTCATTTAAATTTGTAGATAGTGGAATATTTTCAATCTATAATGAAGACAGCAAGCTCTGTGCCCAAGCTCAAAACTCTAGCTCAGTCATAACTACCTCTTGTGATCAGCACAACGAGTTTCAGAAGTTCCGCTGGGTCTCGGCCACGCACCTGCTGAGCATGGCACTCAAGCTGTGCCTGGGAGTACTCTCCAAGGAGGATGAGGCTGCCATTGTGTTGGAACCCTGTAACAAGACAAAGGAGCTTCAGCGGTGGGAATGTAAAGATGAGATGCTTGCAACCCCTGGCAAGGATTTATTTTTCATCTATGGCAAAGAGAAGGGGAAGAAAGTCAAGTTGACCAAATTATCGGCCAAAGGGAGCAGATGGAAAATCCATGGAACTGCAGACAGTGTGTGCTCCCAGCCCTACGAGGGTGAGTACTGAAAATTAATCTCTGTTTCTAGGTAACTTGCCTGCCCCTACTTACAAAGCATTCCACCACGTGCTTAGCATGCAGCAACCCTTTCCTTACATTGACATCAGTAGCAGAGCTGACTACAGATAGTAGAAATGCAAGGCAAATATGACTCTATACATTTATGCTTTACTTGGGAAGTTCAATTCTGTCAGATGAAAGAATAAAAATAGAAAGGCCTATGAAAAATAGAAAGGCCTATCATAAGGGATAATGGGAATTCTGTTTGTACAGCAACAGTGGGTGGAAATCTGTGTTTCAAAATAGGTGTGATCAATTTGTAGAAGTGGTGATTCTGCTGTGTCTAAGTATGTATTTTTGCCATTATTTGGTATGACCAAGTACTATCCCTAAGAAGTTAATTTCTAGTTAACATAGATGCAACCCACTTTTAACAGTGTCTGGCTAGTTTTCACAGGCCCAGCAAGAGGAAGAAGTATAAAAAAGCAGTAGGAAAGCAGTGCTCAATGGTTTAAGAGTCAATAAGACCTAACACCCTGAAAAAGGACCACTGGAGAGTCAGATCTCCTTTTCCTGCATTATTTTCATTCTTGGGCTATGTACAGTGGACATCCCACAGGCAGGGTGGGAAGTTAAATAACAAGGGATTGATATTTTGCCATGCCTACAACAGTTCCAACTGGAATGAAATTTCTCATAATTTTGTTCAGACAGCAGCAAATTAGGCTGCATAGAGATGGGAGGTTCACTTCCCAATAGAATCACTTGAAAACTTAAACAAAACTTGCTCTTATGAAGACTAACAAAATACTCTGGTATCTCATTTCCAAGCCTCTTCAACCATACAGGGTAAAAAAAAAAAAAAAAGGATCCCTAACACCATCTGATGTCAGAAATATGTACATAGTGGGAGAAGCTGAATCAAAAGCACCTCTGACACAGTAGTCCAGTTAACAATGAAAAGAAAAAATAGACAGAAAGTAGTGTGAGGACCAAATACGTGTGTTGTTTGGGAGTTTAAATTCTAAATATCTTGCCATAGTAATTTCTAATTAGCACAACAGCCTTGGAAGGCTTTGTAGTAATGAAGTACTGATGTGTTGAACTCTTGCACAACTCAGCTGTGCCCATAGAGAACTGCCTACTAGCAGACACTGTGGTGAATATCTGATGACAACAAGGTACTATTACTCTACATTTCTCTCTGTAGATATCTATACACTGAGAGGAAATGCCTTTGGTGCACCTTGCGTGTTCCCTTTTAAGTACAATGGTAAATGGTACGCTGAGTGCATCCCTCGGAGTGTCAATCCAGGATCTCTCTGGTGTGCAACTTCTTCAGATTTTGATAAAGACCAACTTTTTGGAAATTGTCCCCTAAAAGGTAATTTGTTTATAAAGATTTCAGGAAAGCAAAGGTTTCATCCACTCTCATGGTCAAATCTCCTCAGAATGTAGAAGTAGTATTGGACAGCCAGCTGGACTCTTGCTAGCCCAGTTCCCTGGTGAGCTATGCAATGGTAAATCAAGACATCTGCTCTTCACTCATGTTGTTTGTCCAGCTGAGATGAGAAGTAGTCTTAAAGTGCTCCTTGTACTGGTACATATGGGTGTATTGTAAATGCTGTGACTGGGACTGATGGAAAAAAGGGAGACAAAACAAAATCTCTAGGACTAGGTGAGAAGGAAGTCAGGGAAAATAAAAGGCAGAAAGAAGTGCAATGGGTGAGGACATGAGGAAGATGAGATGATGGTGGTTTATCATAGGGTGGATGGAGCAGAGAACAGAAGTGCTGGCGTGAATGGAAGGTGCAGGACATGCAGTGACCTTCACCTGTCTTTGGTGCTCCTTATACCCACAAATCACCCAACACTGCTTTCAAGTAAACCCAGCAAAAAAGCCCTACCCCTTTACCCATTCTTCACATCTGATTGGAAATCTTTGTTTCTGTCATGCTGGGAGGTCTGGGAGAGGGAAAGATGGGTCCTACAGCAAGAAACGGATGTGGAGAACAAAATTTTCTGTACAGGGAATAGGAAAATGTTTATATATAGGTAGAATATACCAGTGAGTGGAATAATGTAGACTGAACTGTGAGAGGAGTATATGAATATGATGAGTTATATAAATAAAAAGGAACAGGGTGAATGTAGAAAAAATAGGTTTAAAGGAGAAAGAATTCCTTATGTTATTAATATATTATTAAAACTGAATGGACAAAGTATCTATGTTGGGCAAATTTTGTGCAAAAACTTAGCAAATCATACAGTTACATGGTTTTAGCCTGAAATGAAGATTTTATTTTCTGCTTTACCAAGTATGATTATCTTGTCAAGCTGCTGTCATCGTGTTTTATAGACACCATCCACAATGACCTCTGGAAAACAAATCCTGTGACAGAAACTCACTATCAGATAAATGCAGAATCTCTTTTGACATGGCATCAAGCAAGAAAAAGCTGCCAGCAGCAGAATGCAGGATTATTAAGTGTCACAGACCTTCATGAAGAAATGTTTTTATTAGGTAAAGTGAAAAACCCTAACAAAAATATTAATGCATATGATTAAAACATAGGTCAGCTTCAAGAGCTTTAACATGGATACTTATATGTACCTTGTCAAAACAGGCCTTAGTGACATTCTTAAAAAATCTTGTCACTGTCTCACAAAAAATGTATTAGACTAGGGGAAAAAATCAAACCTATATTTAAAAAAATGCTAGTATGATACGTTTTTTCATGCTTTAAAATTTTATTTCAAGTTTATTGAATAACTGACAAAATCAGAGGCATTTAATCACTTGACTGTTCCTTTCTTTTGGCCACTTAGGGCTCACTAGTGACGTGGGTATCAACGCGAAGCTCTGGATTGGTCTGTTCAGTCCAGTTGACAGTGGCTGGCAGTGGACTGGGGGCAGACCTTTCAGATACCTAAACTGGGCTCCAGGTAAATGCACTTTTCTGAAATTATAATCAGCATCTGGGCCAATCTTACCTAAATTAATGTTACCTAATTCCTTTGGTTTAATAGAATTCTCACAGACAAATGCAGGGCGGGTGGATCTAGGTGATCTATAAGGTCCCTTCCAATCCAAACCATTCTACGAGTCAGTGATTATGGTAAAGGAAGGATATGACATGAACAGAGATCACACTGGAGGTGGATCTCTCTTAATTCTGAATTTCCCTGAAAAAAAATAAATCTATAGCTCATTCTTTATTTTTTTCTACTGACAGTTTTCTCATAATGCATATTATTCAAACAAAACAAATTATACAAAGAGAATGTAAAGAAAAACAAACAACTGAAAAGAAATATTACTAATATTTTCATATTTGCATTACAAATATTTTCAATTGCTCTTCTCAGTTACTGTGTATGACATTTGTATGATGCACATTGTCTTAGTAAGTTTCTACTCTTTTCTTAGGATCTAAGTCACCATCTTGCATGTTGTCATTTACATATTTTCAGAATAGCTGTTGTGAATACTGGGAAATCCAAAGGACAAGCACACCTGTGGAATTAAGTATGCATTACATGCTCAGTGTTTAGTAGTGAAGGATGTTGAGTTGTTTGCAATAGTACAGCCCCATAAGGAATTTTTATTAAAACTTTATTTAAAGATATTTATTTTTCCTCTATGCTGCAGGACAGCACACTGCAGTACAAACACGGAGCATGTCTTTCTAAGCAGTGCATGAGAGAAGAGCAAGTCTGATCTTTCAAATGTCGGCCCTCTTGGCCATCCCAGTGGTGTTCTCTCATCTCCTCTCTCAGGAATTATCATTGTAAAGAATAATATGCCAGTGGCTTTGCAGCTGCAAAAGACTTGTGCATTCCTTGCTGTGATGAGATGGACATTTTCAGTGTTAACAGAGGGATTCTCTGTATGTTGTGCCTCTTTCCTAAAGGAAATCCTTCTGTGGAATCTGGAAAAATATGTGGAACCTTCCAAGGCAGGAATGGCAAATGGGAAAACCAGGCATGTGATAGGAAACTGGGATATATCTGCCAAAAGAGAAACTCCTCCTCAGATTCCTCAACTGTTGCCTCAGGTAAGTGGGTCAAAAAAAGAAGGCTATTTTTGCAGTGAGTGAGAAATACTCATACGTATATGAGAAGAAAGTATCTTTTCAAAATAAGAGGGTTGTACTTGTTGACCTTAGTCTAACATTGAGAAGACTAATTTTCTGGCTCGTGTTACACATGATGTGTAGATGTTGTTAATCATCTTGAAAAGATCACAGGATACAAATAAGGCAGAATTATGTGTTTGGTCATGCTATCCAGACCTCAAGACACTGATGAATATCCCATAATCTGAAAAGATGTGTTCTGCAAAAAGATGTGAGCCACAGTTAATGTTCACCCTGCTCTCTGTGACCAATTTTGCTCTGTTCTGAAAGGAAAAAATCAAAATATGGCTTTAGCACCTTTTTCAAGTTGTGTTTCCCACCTGAAACAAACTAGGCCTTATCTATGTGGAGAAAATGATGTGCAGTTACTTCACTTGGGAATTCCCAGCATGTCGCTAACTCTACAGTAACTCCCTCAACTACTTATATACCAGTACATAAGATTATTCTCTGGCTTGAGGGATGAAAGACACAGCACAGCTGGTATTCTGTACATTCTGACAGAATCCAGACAGCTTACTGGGAATGGCTTCTGACCCATGTTAACCTGCAAACCATGGCTGGGTGTTGCCCAGGGGAATGCAAGTTGGACAGGTCAAAATCATGTCCAGGGGGCACTGAGCAATGTGGTTGATCACACTCCAATTTGGGTGCACATCCTGCCCTCTCCAGTTAACTTGATTGGTGCAGACCAAGTGAGCCTTCAAAGCAGTAGAAGGTGATTGGCCATACCAAATTCACATCAAGAAATAGCTGCTGAACAAAGTTTCTGGCATTTCTCTGCAGCGGGGAATTCTGACATGTCTGGTATAACATGTGTCTGGGCTCTCTGATAGATGGTTTGGGCTGTTCAGCAATTCCAACTGGCCTCCAAGCACCTGGTGTTTCCAGAGAAAAAACAAGGTTCAGCAAGATAAAGTCCCTGTGTATGAAAAGAGAACATATTCCATAAAATGTAGCTGCACCCAGAGTCTCCCTGAGGGGGATTTAAAATGAAGTTGTGCCCTGCAAGTTTGAGTGCCAAATTATTTAGTATTTATTTAATGCTGTAAAAGAATTTTTGGTTGCTCCCAGCACCATTGGATTAGAAAGATCTGTTATATATTCCTTGTGCTCCTTAGATTCTTGCTTCTTCTCTGTCAGTATGTGCCCCAATATTTCAAATTCATGTCAGTACAGGTAATTTTGTTTTTGATGAAAAAAACACACTGAACAGGTTTGCTCATTACTTGTTTGAAATATTTTTTTAGGTGACTTAAAGCCTCTTAAGTGCCCCAGGGAATGGGTGGCCTACGCAGGTCATTGCTATAGAATTTACAGAACACCCAAAATATGGAAAGCAGCCCAGTCTTCCTGTAGAAAAGAAGATGGAGAGCTGGCGAGTATCCATAATGTTGAGGAGTACAGTTTTACAGTGTCTCAGCTTGGGTACAGTGAGTATTCCTGCAGGTCACCTTTTATCTGGAATTATACTGTTGCTATTATTAATTTAATAATTGTAATAATGATTTTTTTTTTTTTTTTTTAAATTCAGTCAAAATGGGTGTGAGATGTGATTGTTCCATTTTAAGACACACGTATACCTACAATTACATTTGTGTTCCCAGAGCCAGATGATGAACTGTGGATTGGTCTAAATGACTTCAGGGTTCAAATGTATTTTGAATGGAGTGATGGAACACCTGTGACTTACACCAAGTGGCATCTTGGAGAGCCAACCCACACACAGAATAAGGCAGACTGCATTGTTATGAAGGGAGAGGTAAAAAAAAATAATAAAAAAAGGGACAGAGGTTTTAAAGGTTTTTAGGAACTTCAGAATATCTGATATATCAGATATTCAGAATATCTTATTTTGGAGGGAGACTGGACACCAGATGTAGGAAGGTGTATGATGGTGCACTGCACCAAGACCTGGTCAGCTCTGGAACAATTATGATAAATCTCTTGGCTGGAGCTGGTTGAAGTAACTCATCTTCCGCATTCAATATGGCTGAACATAGCTGTGTCGTATGATTCTTGGAGCAAGGATCTTCTTATGTTTCCCCTAAAATATCTAAAATATAGATTTATTAGAGCTACTTTGGAGCCCCCTCTTACTGAGGACACAAAAAATTAGGTACAAAAAATTCCATCTTGTTTTATACTCAGCTTAAAATGATATTGTAATATGGAAAATTACTTAAAACATTTTTTTCATACATTATGTTTAATTTATCCAGCATTTCCTGGCTGTTATCACCTGGTCATACGAATATAATACAATAATATAATATGGTATATACTATGCTGGTGAGCATAGGGCAGAACAGAGTGTTCCCTTCCTGCTGTCATCAGCCATTGATCGACCCCTTTAATACACTCAACCTTAATTCTCACACCTCTGCGAATATGTGACTCTCTCTATCTTTATCATGTTCCCTATTTGGGGGTTTTGGAGAAAGCATCAGGCCAAGGAAGAGAGCTGAAAAACTTCAACCATAGGAAGAGGGGAAGTATTCTCTCTGAGGATGGTGAATATTTCTCTAGATTTCATTTCTTTTTTTGGTTTCTTCTTAACATCCTTAGGATGGATCCTGGGCTGACAGTTCTTGTGAAATAAAACTTGGTTACATCTGTAAAAGGAAACCTTTGGAAGAAGAATCAGGGGAAGCTGAGGTTACTTACCCAGGCTGCCCAAAAGTAAGTGTAAAACCAAAGCAGTGAGAAGTTGTTGCATTTTACTTTCACTCCCGTGATGGTATCACAGAAGTAAATTATTTTGACTCTTCTCAGTGGAGCCCTTGAAAACTGTTAATTCATGTGTATGGATACTTCTCAGACCAATGGGGAATTTTAAAATTTATTTAACTAAAATACAGATCTACTTATTTTTTTTCTGCCCTTACATACATGTTTCACTCAGCTCTCTCCCAGTGCAGAACCAGTCACTTTACCCATAAAAGCTGCTTTCTGCAGAGCATATCAGTATTTTTTTCACTATGTAACTCTCTGTTCTTGGGTTCCACTCAGACTTCTTGTTTCAATCAATCTGTAGCAGAAGGCAGGAGTATTAGAGCTGATTGTTTTTCAGATTGTAGCCTCTTGCAACAGCTTCACGTAGACCCAGGGAAAGCACATCAGGCTTTACACAAGGAGCTGCAAAGTGGCTGTGGGCCTGCTTGCCAGCTCCAAGTCAACCACAGCTCACTGCTTGCCAAGAGCCCTTGTGTGTCCTTTGTCAAGGGGCAAGTTCTGGTTGCAAAAGCCAGATTAGATTATCCTCATCTCTACTTCTCATGGCTTCTGAGATTAATATTGACTTTGGGCGTGGTATTAATGGGGCTTTTGGAAGCATTCTGTGCTGCACACTCTGACAGCTCCTCTGTGCATCTCTGCTGTTGGCACTGACAGGGCTGGGTGAAACATGGCTTTTACTGCTACTTCGTGGTGCAGCTACCAAAAACGTTTTCAGATGCAAAAAAAGTTTGTGAAGAAAACCAAGGTTACCTGGCTACGGTGACAGACAGGTATGGAAACATAATTCTTGTCCTTTCGTATGCACAACCAAGATGGAAGGTCCAAAAAGAAATTCCTTCTTACTTTGCAGTTATTCATAGTGCTTAGTGTGACACCGCTGGTTTGCTAGAAAATTTATGCTAGAACTGAAGAAGTATTACAAAATACATCAAGGTCTTATATGTCTGCAATACAGGCATTCAACCATTGCTACTACATGCTTGCATTGTTTTTGACTCCAGGAATTAAGAAACTGAGTCAACCCCCTAAAAAAACCTAATTGTCAAATTGTTTGAAATGCATTCAACTAAAAATAAACAGATAAACATGAAACTATTTGTATCTTTTGAATTTGAACTCTCCAGCCTTTTCTTTGACACAGGCAGATATGGAATCTAATTCTTTTTAGAATAAAAGTAGATTTCTTTTCCCCAGAGGAACAAGATTTAAAGATCTAGACCTTACCATAAAACTCAGTAAAACACTGTAGCACGTATTTATACAGAATGAATAACATGTACGCACAAGTGTTGTTTGGCTTGTGTTCTTCATTGCACAATAAAAAAGGAGAATAGAATCACTCTAAGTTCTAAACATGATTTATGTTGCCAAAATATAAAATAAAAATTAATTTGTATAACAATTAGAACGATAGAAGTAAAGTAATTATACTCACTTCCATGCATTCTTATATTTTCCCACATACCAACAAATCACCTTAACTTTGCCAGATTTGCCTGTTTGAAGAAATGAATAAATTATGATGAAGTGTGATACATCAGCTTGGTACTTATTCTTCACAGATATGAACAAGCTTTATTTACTTCTGTAATTGGATTCAGTCCAGCAAAGCATTTCTGGATTGGTCTCTCAGACACAGAGGAAGAAGGGGTGTTCAAGTGGGCCTCTGGGGATGCGGTCACCTTCACTCACTGGAATGTAGGAATGCCTGGTACGTGCCACAGAGTTTTTGTTCTGGATTCCCAAGAAGTAAGGGTTTGAAAGCTGAAAAGATGTTCAAAAACTCCTCTGGCATGAAGTGGCAGAAATGATAGTGCAATTTTCCATTTATACTACAGGGATTAAATCAGGGGTGGTGGTAATTCCTTCCACTAGACCACCTGTGTCTGCATGTGTCTGTTGGGATCCTTTGCTCTTTGTTGTTTGATGGTTTTGAGAAATGATTTGTAGTATAATGGGTTTCCTTTTATAATTTAACTGAAATGCACATGAACTCCTCTGAGCTATCGAAACACAGTGGGGATAGGCCATTCTTAAGTAAGCAGCATATGCTTTGAGAAGGTGCAGATTTTTATCAACAAGGTTTAAAAATTGTGTGTTTCATGAAGGAAAGGAATCAGGCTGTGTGGCCATGACAACAGGAACTTCAGCTGGATTATGGGATATTTTGAACTGTGAAGAAAAAAACATGTTTCTCTGCAAGCAGCTGGTGAAGGGAGTGACTCCCCCCCCACCTCCAGCGACGACCCCTCCCCCATCGTGCCCAGAGGGGTGGCAATCCACTCCTTACAGCAGCTTCTGCTTCAAAGTAGGTGCTTAATTTCTGATTGTAAACACTTGTCATTTCAAATGAGAATATAGTTTGGTATGTATGGAAGGTGGATAATTATAGTTGCATGATTAAACAATAAGTGATAAAACTAGAGCCCAGGAGCCCAGAAGAAAGATAGAAGCTGAGAATTCTGTTACTTACTTTCTGTGATAAACCTTACTGGAAAATTTTTCATTTTTAATAGATTTTTCAGGAAGGAAGGGAGAAAATGCAAACATGGTTTGGTGCAAGAGATTTTTGCAGAGCTATTGGAGGAGATTTGGCATGTATCCACAGTGAAGAAGAACAAAAACTAATGGTTGACTTGTAAGTATCCCTTGTTTAAATATAGGAAAAAATAATTAAAAATTATCTTTCTGAAAGACATAAAGGAATTTTGGCGACCAATTTCTGCTTTGCAAAGATGGTGTATATCCTTGTGAAGTGGCAGAAGGAAACGGGTAGAAAGAGGTCAGCAAATGGGTTTCTTGGCAGGCCTTTGGAACGGTGGTGGTATGTGTTCAAGTAGCCTGAACATGCACAAAAATGAAAAAGGATCATTGGAATTGGTTTCAGCTAAGTTTAGTTCAAGGGGATAAAACTCATCTTTTTGAGCTTGTTAGTAGTTGATCAGTAGATGAAATACTCTTGTTTAAGGGAATAGTTTGTGTTGCTTTCTTTCCTTATTTAAGGGAAAAATTAGGAGACTAAGGAAAGCATGACCTATTGATGTTCTTATATAAATATTTAAATCAAGCCTGTAAGTACAGACAGATCTGAATTAAGATGCCTAAGCTACTTGGTGCAACTATTTTCATTTAACCTAGTATTTATGGACTCATGACATCTGTGATCCTTCTCATGAAGCTCTGTGTTTCACTGCTTCCTGTCACGTGCAGTGCCAGTGTGTTTTTCTCCACATGGCAATTGCATAATTGCTTCAAATGCCTGTTTAAAATGTTCCTTCAAGCATTAAAACTCTGATACTAATGTAATGATATATATTCTCCTTTGTTTCACACTGGTTCTAATTGTCGTTATCTGCATTCATTCAGAAGGGAGAGTTATCATCACTCATCTTACTGGATGGGTTTAAATGCCTTAGAATCTGACGGTGGATTTGTATGGAGTGATGGCTCACCAGTGAGTAAATAACTTAGTGTTCCAGCTTTGTGTCTAATTTTCCATGTATATCTTGGTAGACAGCTCTCACAGCTCCTCCTATACAAGCCACAAGGGCTTAGAAATCTTTACACCTGTTTCCTCTCTAGGAATTAGTTTTTTTATCTTTTTTTGATAGTTCTTAGCTATAGATAACAGTATGACATCTAGAGTATTTAAGCAAATCTGGTTGTACTAATTTCTATATTCTAATTTGTCATTTACTATTAAAAACAAATGTCTATGTCTAGATAAGTTAGGCTTTGTTGCCATTGCTGTCTGAAGGCCCAAGTCCATGTGGTAGCACTGATGGATTTTCTCAGGTTGAAACATCAGAGTAAGAAAACCAACTCAGGGGCAGAGGAATAGATAATTAGATAATTTGATAATTAGATAATTAGATGCTTAGATAATTATTTCTAGAGCTTGACAGAACTTAATCTCTCCTAATAACAACAACGGCAACAACTTCTTGGCTTACTAACGTGGCTTATGAAGACACAGATGAATCACTATGCTAGGCAATGGCCTTGTTCTCCTTAGAAGGTCTGGCACCAAAGCACAGGATGGATCATGAAAATAAATGAAGTACATACTTTAACACGATGGTATAAGACAATTGTTTAACTATAAAAGGAATAGTAACAAAGCTGTGTTTCCACTACAGGTAAATTTTGAAAAATGGGTAGATGGAGAACCAAACAATTATGATGGTAATGAAAAATGTGGCGTGTTCAGTACTTACAATTATATGATGTGGAATGATTTATTTTGTGAATATATCCAGGACTATGTCTGCCAAATAAAAAAAGGTAAGAAAACTTTCATCCTGAAGCAACTTTTAGAGACAGATAATAACATCCTTTCCAGGTCAGATCACATTATCTGCAAGTATTAGAGCCAGTTGTGCCATCAGGCACAAGGAAACATTTCATATATTTTAATTTAAATAAAAGTGTGAATTAATCCATAAAATACATGTGTACATTTGGGATGTATATGCAGAATGTTGAGGAAGTGAATTACACCAGGGTGACTTAGGGCATAATTTCTGTAAGCTTAATTTGTGATCAGTTCTTATGTGGTATTTTGCTGAGTGTAACATTTTTTTTCAGATATGCTAAGAAATTCTGTGACAAAAATAAGCATACTGAGTAACCCTTAAGATTAATTTTATTACTTGGAATTAAAATGCTATCAACTGCATAAATATATTTGATTGAGAGATGTCTGAGAAAAATATTATACTCAGATATTGATTTATATTGCAGGAGCAACACTGAAGCCAGAACCTACTTCCACATTCAGTAAGTCTTGTATTTCCAATAACAGAAATGACTGATCATGCAATAATGGTAATTTCTACTACAGACTGCTTAATGTTTTACTTTGCAGAGTATGAGTATGTTGTTAGTGAAGATGACTGGATAATATATAAGCACAAGGAATACTACTTCAGCAAGGAGCGAGTGCCTATGGAAAAAGCCAGAGACTTTTGCAAGAAGCATGGTGGTGACCTTGCTGTCATTGAGAGTGAAAGTGAAAAAAATTTTGTTTGGAAATATGTAAGAAATATGTTTTACTTAAAAAATGAAAACAGCCAAACCTGCTCTGTCCTGCACTGAGTCATCTTTTTCAGCTGGCTTGTGAAATACTGGAAAGTGGTCCCCATCTTAAAAAATATATAAGAAATCACTGCCACCTTGTATGAATTTGTCTGCTTAAGAGCTTTACCATCATACTTTGATAAATTGCTACATGTAGACAAGTCGTCAGCTTCTTTTCAAGAACATGTTTAGGCTGCAGTTTTCAAAAACCTGGCTCTGTTTAGCTGGAAGCTACAGTTACTGAGCACGTATTGTTTTCCAACTAATTTTCTTCACATAATTCAATATTTATTTATTTATTTATTTATTTTTGTAAAAACAATTTTCAGATTTTTATTAAAAGGTTTAGGCCAGAATATTTTCTAATAGTAAGAGAATAAGCTTCTGATTATATTGTCTTTTGGAAATAATTTTATATATTTAAAAACAAATTTCCTCCACATGACTAAATACCAAACTCCACCATTTGTAGCCTTTTTGGCAAGTTCCCATTATGTTTTCCTAACACTCTTAAAAATATTGTTTTATTTTTTAGCTTGCTTTAGAGTTGGTTCTTATCTTCTTATCATAACGTTTTGCTCCATTTACCTTTCATACCCTTCTGCTGTTTTACTTTTTTTTTGAAATTTAAATACTGGAAATTTGAGGAAAATTTTGCAGTTGAGACACACAATTCCAGCAACTCCCTATGATACAACTCAAACTAAAGCAGTTTTTGAGAGCCTGCTTATTTTATTTGAAATTTGTTTCTTTGCTCATGAAATTTTTTACTTTTTGGGTTTTAGGCTTTCTACAAAGACTGGGGAAATGCCTTCTATATTGGCTTAAGTGTGAGCCTTGATAAGACATTCCGGTAAGTAAAAGCAAATTAAGACTCATAACGTGAATGATCTTTAAGATCCCTTCCTACCCAAACCATTGTGTGAATATTTGGCATGGTTGTCTGCAAGAAACTGTAGAAGTTCAATGACTGACAAAATCTTCCTGCAGCCGTGTCTGGATATAAAGTTTTAAAATGCAATTAATCTCCTTAGGGAAATGTTCCCATCATATTTCCACTATCTATTTTTCTTTCTTTTGGCTCTATACTCTGTTTTTGTGTTGTGAGGCTGAGATGGTCACTCACTGTCAGTGCAGAGTCATCCCCTTTTCCTTGTTAGATGAAAGGTAAAATTGATTGGAGATCTCTAGCATGTTCCAGATGGTTCTTGCAAAGGTTACTGAATATTGAACTGATCAAAAGAACAAAACAACAACCCAAACCCTGGAGTGCATATACATTATACGTCACTCTTCTCTACCTCCATCCCTGCCCCTCCCTCCCACTTCTTTTTCTAGTGCTTTCTTCTGGGATTTGAAGCTTGGTCCAGTGAGCCTCAGTCTCTTAATTTCAGCCTTTCTTGGCACCAAGCCACAGAGACTGGATAGTCTCATCTCCTGGAGCTCCTGCTTTCTACATGTCATCCACTGCTCAGAAAACACTGTTACTTGTCAGTTCTCCCTTACTCCCTTACTAGTTTCATTTTCCTCCCTTCTGGATGATAGTATTGCTCTTTGTCATAATGTTAATTCACCCAGACTACTATGTACTGTTTTCCCTATTTGACTCAGGAGATTTGCACGTGGAAGCAACAAGGCATCCTGTTGGATTCCTTATTTGTAGTTTACTTGAAAAAACATGTATCTGGTTGCTTAGTCTCCTAACCTGGGAAAACACTAAATTACCCTTGACCTTATGCTCTCTGAAGGCTCTCAGTCTTGGCAGATTCTCCACTTGACTTTCCTCTTTCCAGTACGCTGATGGTTTTTTCACTTTTCTCTTGGCTACTTTTTTGAGAATAAATTTGTGGCCACCAAACTAAGAGATGGTTGTGGCACCACTGAAGCAATAGCTGTATAATATTACAGATTTCCTGTGTTTAACAAAATGGTCCCCAATATGTGGTTCAAGACTCTTTCATAACCTACAAGATGTTATGCTACTGCTTTTGCAGCCCGGAAATTATGAAAAAAGGCTCAGGTTTCTGTTTCTGCACTCCAGAGAAAGCTAGGTACAGTGCTACACTGGTGTTTCCTGCAGGCTTTCAATCCTCAGAGGCCAAGAAAGGCTGGGACCACCAGCTGAGATAATTTGTTCAGACCTTGTCTGGGTCAACAGAGTAGGCAGTTGATATAAAGATATTTTTTACTAATTCTGTGTGGAGGGTCTTGGTTTTCTTTTACCAGAGAACACATTTGTATGCTAGGGTAGAGGAAAATACAAAGATCTAGAATGACCTTTACAAAGAAATATTAACTAACTCAACTAAGAATTGCTATTTCCCCAAATTACTTCTTTCAGGTGGATGGATGGAACTCCAGTGAACTATGTTGCCTGGGCTCCCAACGAACCGAATTTTGCAAATAATGATGAGAACTGTGTGGTCATGTATACCCAAACAGGTGGGTGCTGTAACATTATTCAGTCTGCACAGTGGGCATAAGCTTGGGGTGATAAATGCAAATATCCTTTAATACAGAGAGTTGAAAGTAATTGTGCTTACACTAGCCAAGCTTTTAGTCTTCTCTGGAGCAGTTAATCTCTTCTGCTTGCAAACTTTCTACTCTCAAAATGTATAGCTCAGGTGATTTTCCTGGACTCTGTTAGAGATCAATAAAATGGCATGAACATTTTTACAGAGTAAATATGTCTTGTTTTGGAGAGTTTCCTTAGGAGAAGATGAATTATGTCCTTAACTTCACTGAATTATAATGAGAATATCTCCATAAGGTGTGATTAGCTCTGCTGTAGATAATTACCTTGAAACCATCTGCAGCTAATGAAATGAACGCCATTTTCTAATTTGTTCTTGATCTGTCATATGCTTATGGGGAGAAAAGATACTGAGAAGATTACAGAACTCAGGTAGTAAGGTAACACGGGCAAAGTACTTTATTATAGATGGAGTGATCCCAGAGATTTTACAGATCTTAGGTGAATTAAGCATTTGAGCTAAAACTGCCCTTTGGAAACGCTATGGGTTTTCAATATTAAAATATTTCTATTCTCAGAAAAAATATTTGTATTCTGAATTTTGCTGGTAACATGAATATTTCTAAGGAACATACATGAAAAATATGCATAATATCTGAGAGGGATAAATACAAATACAGTCACCAGTTCTACTGCCTGCAGTATATTCGCTTTAGGAAAGAAGACTTTTTATCCCAGTCCTAGCTGCATTTCTTTTTTTTTTTGTTGTTGTTGTTTTGTTTTAAATGATTTTCAGGTACATGGAATGATCTCAACTGTGGCAGTCTTGAGTTATTCATCTGTGAAAGGCTTAACTATACTGTTCGTCCGACTGTTGCTCCTACTTCACCACCACCAATGGGTGGGTGTGCAGAAGGCTGGCACCTCTTTGATAACAAGGTGCAGTATGAAATATCAGTAAATTGTGTTTTAAGAAGAGCCAGAATCACCACCATCTTTGGTTCAGTTTTAAGGTTGTTGCAGGTTCCCTGGTTGTCATAAAATACGGTCTGATTGTGTATATTTAAAGACTCTAAAAATATGATTCCTGCAATAGAAGTTGTAGCCGGTCTTGCAACCACAGCAGTTATGAAAGAGGTTACAAGACATGCAGGGAGAAAGCTTTATCTTATATTTTTGCTAGTGTTTAGTGTTGTCAAGCTCTCAAGCCACCAAGGCATCTTTCCTTGAACAGATTAGTTAGGTTTTTTATATAACCAAATACCTGCTCAGGTTTTTAAATAATTCAACTATAAGCTTCAGTCCCCTTTATTATGTAAGATCACTCAGCCTTCTCAAAAGACGAAGTTTCAGGATAAGGGAGTGTATGTGTTTAAAATTCATAGATTGTTATCAATGGACCTCTAAAAGCTGTAAAACAACAGTGTACACTGTTGAGAATACACCTAGCAGCAAAGATAATCCTTGATTACATTGGCTCATCTAGCTCCGTCTCTCTTCCTTTTGGCTAAGACAAAGTATGATTTCAGTTGGAGCTCCTTTGTTTGAGACAGACTGGCTGGCTTCTGTCTCCTCATTCCTCCCTTCTCTCAGCCCTGGAGAAAGGAGTGATGAACTCACAGTTAGGTCCACTTCATAGTGCTCTCTCAAGCTAAAATATTTCTCTCTTCCTCACCTCCTTGAGAAGGAGTTTCCAGAGGTTCCATCCTTGAGTCCTCTCCCAGATACCACTTCTGACTCTCATGGAGCTATCTCCCTTTTGCCAAACTCCTTCCCCAAACTGCCTGATGATTAACTTTTCAGCTTTAATCAGCACATTTAGGTTGCTTGACTCTGACAAAGCTGTCTAATGACATCTTGGTTAAATCTTCTACATCATATGACAAGAAACAGTAAATTCATGTTTTTTGTTGTAATGTCAGAACCACTCTGTGATTATCCTGTGAGAACCAAATCTGATATGACAAACAGGGTGACAGAAGCTGAGATGTTTAGCTTCCATAACATGTCCTTGTTTGTTTGTTTTCTGAGATCTTAGGCATTCCTCCCACAAAGTCACACCTCAGAAGTGTGCTCAGAAGCCTTAAAATAATTTCTACTTAAATCATTAGACTGATATATTCCCTCTTCTAAGTGTATGCTAAAGTATTGGGGCTTATGCTAGTTTTCTAGTACAGATCCTCTCCATAAAGACCTAAAGACAAGGTAGAAAGGACTGTTAAATCAGCTAATCTCTCTTTTTGATTAAAATATCCAGTTTGTTCCAACAGAGATGCTTTCACCGGAAATTATAATGCCATCCAGTTACAAATTCAGCTCACTTCTCTTTTTCAGTGTTTCAAAGTATTTGGCCTTAATGAAAATGATACCTTGACATGGCACGCTGCAAGGAACAGTTGTATTAAATTTGGAGGGAATCTGGCTACTATACCAAGAAAAGAAGTGCAAGGTATAAAGTACCAGTGTTTTGATACTGTATGTATCAATTAATTCCTGATACCTAGATTAAAACCAATGGTATAACTTCTGCAATGCTGTATTAATATAAAATCATGTTGAATGAGAAGTTTCACCTTTGGAAAATGCTTGTATAGCTTTTAGTGTTCTTGATTAACTTTTAAAATAATAGCTTTGAGGTTAACATAGGATGTACAAAGGAATTAATACTGTTCAGATATTAAGATTTTGTATTAGAGACTTGCCATATAATAAAATGTCTAAAGTTTACTGCTTTCAAGTGTACATGTAAAATAGCACATGGAATAACACCCAAAATAAATCACTGTGCACCTTGCTGCTGAGCCAAATGCTGTGGGTGTCAGTGGAGGACACATCCTTAGGCAGAAGGCTCCAATGCTTGAGTTCTAGCTTCCCCCTGCTCCTCTTGCTCTGCTGGACCTCAGCCTGCTGGCCTTCTTGCTCAGCATGTTAGAGGTTTTTCAGTGAGGCTTCATGTTTGCCCAGGAAATGTAATGCCTAGGATCCTGAGGACAAGGAGCATCTCCTAGCTCACTCCATCAGTATTTGTGGTTTATGATTTTTTCCTATAGAAGAAGAAGATTCTTTTAGTGGGAAGTCAAACTGAGCAGGAGCTATGAGAAACAGCATATGGCCTTCCAAAAAGCTGAGATCTCTGTACACATGTACTTAGTTATTAAGTAGTTTTATTTGTGTAATGCCTGTTTAGAAATTAAATTATTGTCTGGTTAATAAAGAAGTTACTAAAGAAGAAAAGGTAGTGCATGGTTTGTAGGCTCATGATCTGTGTGTTAGGGCTTACTTTATTCATATTCATTTCTGTAATACCATTAAAACATTTTCCCTGCTTCCTCAGACAGTGAACAACATCAGAAGAGTGTACACATTAATTTCTTTAAAAATTTTGAAAACAATTTTATGTATCAAAATTTTCCCATCTTTGAATTTGTAAATACTTCTTCTAACTTTACAATCTGATGACTGTCTATTATTTTTATTTTTAACATGATTGAAACCTTATTAAAAAAGTCAAAACCAAAATGCATTATCCAGGCACTCTCAGGTCTGCACTGTTGGGCAAAGGTGCATTCAGTTTCCATCCTTGTTAAATTTTTCTTTTGCTTCAGCTTCCCTCATGTCCGTCTTAAAAAATGCTGCAACAGATGCTTGGATTGGACTGAACGACATAAATCAGGAGCACAAATACTTATGGACAGATGGAAGCCCAGTTTACTACACAAATTGGGCAAAAGAATCTCGAAGTTATTACAGTAAGGTAAACATTAACTTGATTATCACTTACACATTATAACTTTGGTAGATTGATAAAATGTATGTAGGCACATGTATTTTTGTATAAATTTTCTTTTATGAGAATTTTGAGTCCAGGATTTTATGAGGATTTTGCTTTTTTAAAAGTGAAGTAATCTCTATTCACACATTTTTTCAACTTCTGTTTTGTCATGATTCTGAATGAATCCAGACAAAGGTTTGGGAGCACTATGCTAAACTCAGACAAGTGAGCAATTTCCCTTGCTTTACCATGACTGATCAGGAGATTCAAAGAATCCATTAACGTAGCAATAACTATATAATTTTGGGACCTTGTGAATGTTATTTAGACTTGACTAAAATGTTCATCTAAATGCTTATAATTACATTTCTTGGCACTAAGTTTATTAAGATGTGTTGAAAAAATCTTCAAAAAACAGTATCTGGATCTTCCTTTCTTATTGTGTCTTCCCTTCTGCTTGCTTTGAAATTTCCATCAGTGCGGTACTATTTGGTGTTCAATGGCAAGGCAAATATGAATGTTAATCAATAACTGCAAAAAGGCTAAGGTAGAATATTTTACTTGATAATACTTCTTCCTACGCCTTTGCTGGCCTTACAAAGTTGCTCTCTTCTTCGTAACATAATTGCTTTGAGTCCAGGTAAAACAGGAAGGAGTTCTGTGAGGTCCAGATTCTGCTGCCATCTGGGCAGAACACAAATTTCAGTGAAAAAGGATTGGGGGTTGTCCCTCACAAAAGGTTGTTGCTGATTATTACCTCAACATTACTGCACTGTGGTGACAGCTTTGGATCCTGGTGCTGGACTGGGGCAGGAAGAGGGTTTCACCTCTCCAGGGGAACTTCAGTGGTAAGGAGAGTTTCCCCATAACCTCCAGAAAAACAGCAAAAGAGCTGAAATGTCCTGTGGGCCAGATCCAGCACATGCATCTCCACCTGCACACATACACATGCCTGCAGAAAGATGATATACATACGGATAGTTCCAGATGCTTCTTCCAGCCTCTGCTGTGCTTTGCAATTCTTGCCATCATCCAAGCGCAAACTTTCCTGGGGCTGAGTTATAAATGCCTATGGGCTTATATATATATATATATGTATGTATATATACATATATGTGTATATGTATATATATAACCTTCATAGTATTTATCTGTCTGTGACTACATGTGACAAGCATGTCCGTATACCCAGCAGGAGCAGGAACATTTCCTATCTATTCACAGGTTTTTCCCTATTAATCTCATTTCCTCTGTAGGTTGACTGTGTCTTTATGAAGAAGAACCCTATTGAACAAGCAGGGAAATGGAAGGATGAAGAATGTAAAGAAAGCAAAAGTTACATATGCCAGAAAAATTCTGGTGAGATTTCTTTTACCACTTTCTAGTACAGCTTATTTATTGTGGTTAAGTCAAACTAGTGTTCAGAGTCACTTTCCCACATTCATCTCCATTTTAAATTAAATTAAATTAATCTGATGATGTGACATGTGCTATGGACCATTTTAACAAAAGGAAAACATTTCATTTTTTTGAGAAAAACTCTTATAATTTCCTATTTTAAGGACTAGACCAGTTTTAAAAAATATTAAAAATCTATGGATCACCAGGCATTTTGCTATTTTTGGTGATCAGGAGGGTGAGTAAAAGAACAGTTTTATGTCTTTATATGAGCAAATTATTAAATACTGACATTCTACTGTTATACCTAAAAGTACTGCAGCTTCTTTGTTTTGAAAAATTGCTCCATTTAATTTCCTTTACACTCTTAGGCATTTTCAGCAGCAGCATTTACATCCCTCTTCTTGCTCATGGTGTGCTCATTGTATCTTATTCCTTGTCGGATATACAACAAGTGCTAATATATAATGAAAAAAAGCAGGGGAAATAATTGCCTTTAATGCTTTACACAGTTCCAGTATGCTTTGGGAAGGTCTAGAGCTTACAGAGGACTTTCTGGGGGTGATACAGATATTTATAATGAAAGGTCATTCTGGCAAGAATTAGAAAATTCTGTCACAGAACATGAAAATCTGGCTTTTGTCACCACAGTGCTAGCTGGGATGCTTCCTAATTTGTTATTTCAGTCTCTCTTAATTGCTTAGTTAGCATACTAGATCTTCTCTTAGTGTATTATGTATAGCCAATACAAATCTTCTTTTTGTTTGTTCACTACAGACCCAAACCTGCAAAACACCCAACCCGTAATTCCACTGTTTGGCTTTAACAAGTATGGTGATGACCACTATGCAGTCATGAACTACAAAATGAGCTGGGAAGAAGCAGAGAAGAAGTGCCAAGAGCAGGTTGCAGAGCTTGCCAGTGTTTTGGATCCTTATGTTGATTCTTACCTATGGTTACAAATAGTAAAGCTTGGGCAGCCTGCATGGATTGGTTTTAGCAGCAAGATGGTGAGTCCATCAAATGCTTGTGACAATCATACCACTACCCTAGATCAGCCATATTTCTGCCTCAGAAGTTGACAGGATCCACTGCTGTGGGTGCTGTTTGCTCCCAAGGTATGTATATATACATATATGTGTATATGTATATATATAACCTTCATAGTATTTATCTGTCTGTGACTACATGTGACAAGCATGTCCGTATACCCAGCAGGAGCAGGAACATTTCCTATCTATTCACAGGTTTTTCCCTATTAATCTCATTTCCTCTGTAGGTTGACTGTGTCTTTATGAAGAAGAACCCTATTGAACAAGCAGGGAAATGGAAGGATGAAGAATGTAAAGAAAGCAAAAGTTACATATGCCAGAAAAATTCTGGTGAGATTTCTTTTACCACTTTCTAGTACAGCTTATTTATTGTGGTTAAGTCAAACTAGTGTTCAGAGTCACTTTCCCACATTCATCTCCATTTTAAATTAAATTAAATTAATCTGATGATGTGACATGTGCTATGGACCATTTTAACAAAAGGAAAACATTTCATTTTTTTGAGAAAAACTCTTATAATTTCCTATTTTAAGGACTAGACCAGTTTTAAAAAATATTAAAAATCTATGGATCACCAGGCATTTTGCTATTTTTGGTGATCAGGAGGGTGAGTAAAAGAACAGTTTTATGTCTTTATATGAGCAAATTATTAAATACTGACATTCTACTGTTATACCTAAAAGTACTGCAGCTTCTTTGTTTTGAAAAATTGCTCCATTTAATTTCCTTTACACTCTTAGGCATTTTCAGCAGCAGCATTTACATCCCTCTTCTTGCTCATGGTGTGCTCATTGTATCTTATTCCTTGTCGGATATACAACAAGTGCTAATATATAATGAAAAAAAGCAGGGGAAATAATTGCCTTTAATGCTTTACACAGTTCCAGTATGCTTTGGGAAGGTCTAGAGCTTACAGAGGACTTTCTGGGGGTGATACAGATATTTATAATGAAAGGTCATTCTGGCAAGAATTAGAAAATTCTGTCACAGAACATGAAAATCTGGCTTTTGTCACCACAGTGCTAGCTGGGATGCTTCCTAATTTGTTATTTCAGTCTCTCTTAATTGCTTAGTTAGCATACTAGATCTTCTCTTAGTGTATTATGTATAGCCAATACAAATCTTCTTTTTGTTTGTTCACTACAGACCCAAACCTGCAAAACACCCAACCCGTAATTCCACTGTTTGGCTTTAACAAGTATGGTGATGACCACTATGCAGTCATGAACTACAAAATGAGCTGGGAAGAAGCAGAGAAGAAGTGCCAAGAGCAGGTTGCAGAGCTTGCCAGTGTTTTGGATCCTTATGTTGATTCTTACCTATGGTTACAAATAGTAAAGCTTGGGCAGCCTGCATGGATTGGTTTTAGCAGCAAGATGGTGAGTCCATCAAATGCTTGTGACAATCATACCACTACCCTAGATCAGCCATATTTCTGCCTCAGAAGTTGACAGGATCCACTGCTGTGGGTGCTGTTTGCTCCCAAGTCCTGTTGGTCAGATCTGTGAATGTCTGGCAGCCATCAGAGGCTTGCTGACACCTGACGTGTCTGCACTTGGAGGTTCTACGCACCCAAAGATGTGGCCATAATGTAAATGAGAACTGCCACAATCTGTATTTCAAACACCAAGGATGTAGCTGCAGTAGACAGTGGCTTCAGCAGTGAAAGTGGCTATGAAGTTTCCACTTCCTACGTCTACCACAAGCTGATGTCAGAGAGCACTGCTGTTGTCGCAGACACATTGTGGAGCACACCACAGAAACCACTTATGTTAAAAATATCTTTTTCTTTGTGAGGTTATTTTAAACCTTGTTTTAATTTACAGCCTAGCACCACAAGAGCTTGTGCTGAGCAAGAGGGAAAGTAGCAAGGTGTAGTGTAGAGATGGCAATGGGGACACCTTAGGCTGGTTTTTGGAGCTGAAGCCAATGCCTTGTGAAAGCCCATCAGCAGACTCAGTCAGCAGAGTGGAAAAGCCTGAAAGGGGAAGCATCTGCTACATGCATGGAGAAAGAACATGAAAAAAGATGATGCAGATGGATATTTGTGGAACCGGGGTTGTGAGGAAATCAAGAGAAGAGAGGTAGGGCCAGAGCATGGTGGGACACAAGATTGACAGAGGGCACAGGTGCTGAGGTGAGAGGAACCAAAGCTGAACTTTAGTGAGAGAAGGCACTGGGAAACCAGGATTAGACAGGAATCTAGTATTCCTGTTGCAAAGGACTTAAAAGAAAAAAGGACAGGAAAGAAACTGGAACAGAGAACTGGATGGAAACCTGCCTCCAAAGCTCATAGAAAGAAGGGGGTAGGCTGTGCTAGATGGGGTGACAGGAGCCATGGCTGTAACTAATGTTTGTGCTGGTTCTCGCAAGAGCTAGAAACTGTGTCAACAAGGGTGGCAGAGGTCTGTGCTGTGTGCACCATGGAAAACCTCATCTCCAGGAGAGCTTCTGCTTTTTCTACTGCTTTCTAAATGTATAGTGGAGACTGTGTTAGAGGAACACCAACAAAATAGTTTCTCTGCAATCTTTTTTTGATCTGTGCATATATATGGACTCCTTTGATGAAATCTTCGATTCTATGCTCACAGTTGTTACTGCAGGGCCCTTTGCCCATCTGCTGCACGAGGAGGTGGTGTGGATGGAATAACGTAGGTTGTGTACTAAATAAACATATGTAGGACCATCACCCTGGCTACTGTGGAGAGTAGAAGCCTGGGCCAGACTGTCATGTATTCACAACAGAGCCTGCAAGTGCAATCTTAATGTTATTTCAAGGTAATTGTTGTATGTGATACAATCTTTTTTGTGATTTCCTTTTAGACTCATGGCCATTACAAATGGTCAGATAGACAGAGAAGCAGATACCATAACTGGGCCAGTGGAGAACCAAATAAGGACACAGCCTGTGTCTATATAGATTTGGATGGGTTTTGGAGGACAGCATCTTGCAATGAAACATTTTACTTTCTCTGTAAACAATCTGATGGTAAGTTGTGAATGGGAGAAATGTGATTTGGGACGCTGGTATTTAAATTCCTGGCTTTCTTTGACTTCAGCTTTTCCACATACGCAAAGATTGTGACAGATGGTGTATGCCTTGTGATAAACTATTGCTTTTGTAAAGGAAGAAGTCCCAGATCCAGTCTGTCTTGAGTGATTTCCAGACATTTCATTTTACAGGCCAATCAACACATCCACATCATGAAGACAACTGCAACATTTCATGCTACGAGCAATAGATCTTTTCTGCAACCTTGTTTGTCAGGAACCGCAGAATTGATCAACTTTAGGCTAACTATACCAGTTATATATTATTACATTTTAAAGTATCTTTTGTAATATTTAGAGATCAGAAGATTCTGACAAGGTGGCAGCTGAATCAATTAATTTATATTTGTTATAAGTATAAGATCCTGGGAGCTTCTATTGAGCTTCTTTGGAGCTCAAATATTACATGTAATTTTCAAACATATTTCAAATAATACATGAAATTTATGATCCCTGCACCATACTTCAAAACAAATTTTCTATTAATTTACGATCTGCTTTGACTGTAGTCAGGCAATGCAATAGGCTGCTAATTATTCTTTTTCATAGTTTAGGGCGTAGGCACAAGGGCAGGTACAGGTTACTTCTCTGCTGACCTTGCTACAAACTGGCTGGACACAAGCCACTTGCTTGGGGGGGGGGGTAGGGTGTTTGGATCCTCTAAGTATACTGACTCATTCTGTTTCACAAGTTTTAAGTGAAAATTGCCTTGCTGGAGACAATTACAGCATGACTGGAGAAAGCCTTCTTTAGCAGATTGGAGAACCAACGGCAACCAGTATAGTTTATTACTACTTTACCATAATTAGTTCCATCTGTTATAATTAGTTAAGTCTATGAGATAATCCTTTTACTGGAATCACTGTGAAATTGGTAGGGTTGAAATGTGGTGCAAGACTACATGTTTCTCTTGGCTTTTAAAACCCCACTGAAACCTGTGTGTCTCCTTAATAGAGGTAATCCCCAGTGAGCCACCACAGCTTCCTGGGACTTGTCCTGAACCAAAACGTGGTAGATCTTGGGTTCCCTTCCATGGTCACTGCTACTATGTTCACACCACTTCTGAGGAAAGCTGGCCAGATGCTTCCATGGAGTGTACTCAAATGGGTAAGTCCCCTTTTTTATTAGGATATTTTACAAGTTGTGTGTGAGTTTGCGCTTTTAATCCAGCCAAAAGAGATAATACATAGATGTGTATGTATATAAATAAGCTGCAGCTAATTAAAATTATTATCAAGCTTTTCTATTATAGGAAAATGTTGATCACGAAGCATGTAATTTTTTAAATGTGATAATTAATTTCTCATGGAAAATCTTGATAAAATGGTATGTAATATTTGATTGATATTTTCAGGTGCTTCTATGGTTTCCATAGAAGATTCAGCTGAGCTGAACTTTCTCGTATTTTATTTGTCACCACTTGGAAATGAATTCAGGAACTTTTGGATAGGATTGTTCAAAAATATTGAAGGTAACTATTTCACAATGCATGCTGAGATGAAAATAAATACTAATAAACAGAGAATACTAAGTAACCCTAACATTCTAAGTACTAATACACTAAATATTAAATAATCAGAGAGAAATAAACTGTTAAATTTTAGTAGCTGTTCTGCTAAAATACTTAAAACATAAGCCATCGAGAGGTCTACACCTTTTATATGTCAGGCACAGGTTGAGCCCTGGGCAAAGGCTTCAGCTAAAAATCCTTGGGCAGCTTGGACATGTCTTCCTAACATCACTAACAGCCATGGCCCCAAAGGCTGATGGTGTTCACTTTCTCTGTGAGCATTTACACTTGACAGACTCCCATCTAAACATCTCTGACTGTTAAAAGAATGAGAAATGAGTCCACTATGATGCTAATTTAATCAACTAATAAGTTCCACATCCAATGTCACTGTGCCTGGTAGACTAGAAACTATTCCCTGTGTCATTCACTCACTAATTAATACTTTTAGGGGAATGGCTATGGACAGACAAAACTGCAGTAGAATTTGTCAACTGGGAGGAAGGACAGCCTAGAGCGATTTTTGGTAAAAGCTGTGTTTATATGGATATCCCAAGTGGAACCTGGAAGAACTATTACTGCTCTGTTGACAACAATTTTATTTGCAAAATCCCCAAAAGTAAGTTCTGAATTTCTAGTCCATTGGGTTATTTTAGAAGTAGTAGTTAATGTACATGAAGCTCAAGTGCTTCTGTACTGGGTAGGCATCAAAGTCAAGAGTAATTTCTGTTAAGGACAAGAAGAAGCATGTTGGAGAAGAACATGCCACTGTTTCCTCTTTTTTATTTTTAAAGCATTGATATCTTGGCATTTGCTGTACCCTGGGGTTGGGGAGAACATGTGACCTAGTGGTAGTGGAGAGAAAATTCAGTCATTATTGTTAGAGTGCAAGGGGCAGTAGATGATGAATAGATGACTAAAGCAGTGCTGAGAAGAAAAGCAGACACTCTCCTGATAGCTAAGTCAAGGAGCAGCAGTGCAAAATCACTGATGTCCTGCAGAAGGAGGGCAGGTGCTGCTGGTGGTGCCAGTACCAGTGAAGTGTGGTGGGATCAGCTGGACAGCTCAGCAGAAAGTGTCAAGTGAGGGTGGGCAATGGGATTCCATTAATTTTTCTGCTGACACCAGCATAAGGAGACATGCCAAGACAACCAAGTAGCACAGTACGTTTAGTTTTTAATGGTTCCTTGTGGCCCTGTGGTTTTTTGAATGTCAATCCATGTGAAATCTGAACGTGTCGCAGGCTGGAGTGAGTTCCCCCTCCGTGCACAGCAGGGTTGCACAGAGCACGAAGAATGTAAATCTGCACGTGTGCAGCTGTGAGTCACCCTAGACGCACAGATCCAGCTGTGTTTGCATACAACAGCTCGGACACAGTTTGAAAGATGGCAGATCTGCTATTGGCAAACAGATCCACTACGTCAAATATCATAGATGTAATGTGGAACTAATTGAGTTTCTGGCATGTGGATCTCCAGATGTTGGCAGGTTGGCCATGAGCTTTGCAGGGCCCAGGCAGCTAGTCCCTGCAAGCAATTAACTGAGTCACAGTCCTCAAGCAATGAAGGGAGAAAAAGGAAGCTACCTAAAATGACAGCTTAACTGCTTCTAAGTACAAATGTGCTTTTAATTTTTGCAAGTATAAAAAATGAGTTCTTCATTGTGAAGTGTAAACCCTTACACTGTGAAAGTGTAAAAACATTGAATATCAGTGTTCTTTTTTTTTTTTTTTTTTTTTTACAAAAAAAATCAAAGCAATTAATAGTGAGACAACAGGTGTTTTTCTGGGAGTTTTGTAAAAATTTTTTTAGCAAGAATATTTTATAGATTCAACCTGAGTTGTCAGGGAAAATGTTTTCATATATTTTTCATCTCCATGAACCGTGCTTAGCTCTGGGACCACCAGCATAAGAAAGACATGAAACTGCTTTAGTGGATCCAGAAGAGGCCCATGGACAGGATCAGGGCTGGAGTAACTGCCCTAAGAGGACAGGCCTGGGAGACTTGGAGTTCTTCAGCCTGGAGAACAGAAGGCTCTAGGGCGACCTTATAGGGGCCTTCTAGCACCTAAAGGGGGCCTACAGGAAAGTTGGAGAGGAAGTCTTTATCAAGGAATGTAGTGATAGAACAAGTTTCAAACTGAAATACAGTAGATTTAGATTAGATATTAGAAATTCCTTTCTGTAAGAGTAGTGAGACACTGGCACAGGTTACCCAGAGAAGCTGTGGGTGTCTCATCATTGGAAGTGTTCAAGGCCAGGTTGGATGGGGCTTGGAGCAACCTGGTCTAATGGGAGATGTCCCTGACCATGCAAGGGAGTTGGAACTAGGGGATCTTTAAGGTCCCCTCCAAACCTAACCATTCTATGATTTGATGTTTATTTAAAATTTGATAGGAAAGCAAAGTAAAAATGATGTATGCAATATTTATTTAATCTTTGAATAGTCTCTTCCAAACTGGTTGTAATACACATATGTTTATTTTAAAGTTCCTGAAGTTGAGCCAACCCATGAGTCACATGCCTATAATGGTAAGTTGATTTCTTAGAAGCACATGAAACAGAAATTTCATTAAGTTTATAGGCACGTATTATTTACAAGTGAAATTGTGTCCAGAACATTTTAATTTAAATAACAATTTAGCTGTCACAGCTTATTTTATTTTAAATCTTTTTAAAAGGTAGGCTCTTCTCTCAAACTGGATGTCTTATTGATAACTTTTTTTATTTTGCTTTATGAATGATATACTGCACTACTAAAAAATACTCCTTTTATAAGGAACATAGAAGAGATTGTGCTCAATTTTGCATTGTCCATCCAGAACATGCATGAATTTTAACCGCTGTTATGGTTGTTCAGTACTTTTACAGTTCACCCAGTCGGTTTGCTTAGGGAGATATTTGTTGTATGCAACAGCAGTCTTTGGCTATTTGTAGTAATTGGTCTGTTTTGTCTTTCACAGCATCAAAACATGAAGCCGCTGCTTCATCTGCAAACAGTTTAGGTGGGATGATTGTTATACTGATCTTCTTTCTGCTGACAGGAACTGGTCTTACATTCTATTTCTTCTATAAAAAGAGACGTGATCAGCAGACAGTTACGCCCAGTTTTGACAATGCCATATATCGTGGTGATTCTGGAACACACGAATCAAATTGTCTTGTGACCAATATTGAAATAAATGAGCAGGCAACAGTTTAATAAGCAGAGTAATCTTGGTCCTGATTTTGAAAGGAATTTAAGTGTTTAAATACAAGAATTCTAAAAGCAAAATAATTATCTCCTAAGGAAATTCTAGTTCATTTTGCACAGGATGCTTCATACTTTCTGTACTAGTAGGAATAAGCAATCTTGCAAAGCAGATCCAGAGATCTGCACACAAACAATTGTATCTGGGAGGACTGTTGAGCATGTACGTAGACCTGGAGTTAAGCTCCATGAGTGAACATGCTGGCAGTTCCAGTCTCTGTAGAGGTCCAACATCACTTTAGGCATAAAAAGAACCATGCTCACCACAGGCAACTGTGCCAATAATCTCCTTAGCATGTTCCAAAAAGTACATCCAGATCTCTAGGAATTCTGAATATGTCACCCTTGATGTCCAGAGCAGACTAGCAGAATTGCACAGATTTGACAGGACCTCCAAGCTCACCTGATGAAGGCCCCTGCTCGAAGCAGGACCAGCTCCCTGCCTCAGACAGGCAGCCTGCTCCAGTGCTGGGAGTCTACATCTTTCTTTTGCTACTAAGGTGCCCACACAAACCCTTTGTGTTGCCTGTAACATCTGAATTAACACATTCTCCTCCTCTGTGTATGACTGAAAGGAAAGTGTAAATTGTTTTTCTTCTGCTGTAATTCTGTAACATAAGCATAGAAAGAACAACTGTATTATGAGGTTTGAAGGTGTTGTGAATAGAAATATTCTGTTTTTTAAATAATAAAATAGTGATCTCAAAGGATTCTGGAAAAGGGGGGACAGGGGAATAGGCAGGATGAATTACACTTTATACCTGAAAAATTAACTTTTTTTTTTTTCTCTGGAAATCTCCAATACCAGTGAAGATTTCTTACTTTTTTTTTAGGCCACTTATTCAAAACCTAACAAAACTTAAGATTAGAAAGTCTTTTCTGAAGTTTAACCAAATTCCCCCTTCTAAGTCTGTTTTAATCCTTTGAGTATCATTCCAGAATTGCATCATGACCAAGGTGATAGCATTGCATGTCATATTGGACTACTGATATATCTTCTGTGTTCAGAAACCCTAAAAATATCCAATTTGTTCACAGAAAGTTTTGTTTTGAGATGCCTTTTTTTTTTTTAAATTTTCCAGTATATTTTGTCAAATGTGAACAATGAAATGACTCAAAGCTCTAGTCTAGAGAAGACCCCTATTTAATTTGATATATTTTTATGTTTTAATCTTCTGACAGATTTTGTTTGTGTTTAAGTTAAAATATTTTGCGTGTGTATGCAATACATGTAAATGTTTTTATTCTACTTTGCTTCCCTTTGGGAATTAAAAGGCTGGTTCTAAGTGAAAGATTGTGTGTCTTTATAAAACACAAGAGAGAAGAGAAGGCTCCAGAGAGACCCTACTGTGTCCCTTCAATACTAAAAAAACGAGCTTACAGAAAAGGTGGGGACAAATATTTTATCAGGGCCTGTTGTGATAGAACAAGGGGCAAAGGTTTTAAGTTAAAAGAGGGTAGATTTGGACTAGATATAAAAAAGAAATGTTTTACAATGAGGGTGGTGAAACGCTGCAACAGGTTGCCCAGAGAGGTGGTAGGTGACCCATCCCTGGAAACATTCAAGGTCAGGCTGGATGAGGCTCTGAGAAACCTGGTCTAGTTGAAGATGTCCCTACTCATTGCAGAAGGGTTGGGTGAGATGACCTTTCAAGATTCCTTCCAGCCCAAACTGTTACATGATTCTGTGATAAAGAATCCCTCTGCTTGAGTTTGCCTGAATTGGTCCTATGAGATCTATACATTTGGATTGAGAAAATGTTACCAGAAAATAGTAGGCCAAAACCAAGAAAGGTGCCTAATGAGAAGTTAGTTGTAAAAGCTTCCAAGGACTGATGAGCTTTATAGACTAGTAGCTCTGTTGCATCTCTGAGAACTGAACCAAGAGTGTTCTGGAACTGTACACGGCTACTAGTGCACACAAACATCAGCAGAGGCAGTTGTGTAACTTGGACCACATCCAAGACAGCAGTGGCTACTATCTGATAATGAAGAGTACAACACTGAGGTACTTTCCTTACATCTCCTGAGAAGTGCCTGGAGTGCCAGGATGGCTCTCTGTAACTGATTATACAGATGGGATTGGTTTCCAAATATTGCTTGCCTGTGAATGAGAAAGTGAATGTATTATGTGAATAGTGGTTTGCTATTCATCATAATAGCTTGAATCTATTAGGAATAGCAGCTTAATGGAAAAAAACCCCACCACCAACAGACTTACTTGAAAAAATACTGGTGATGATCTGCATTCCCTCCCAGTTTCATCCCCTATCAGTGAAAAGGGAATTTAAAATAAGTTTTGGTTTGCACGTCCTGGTACAATGTTTTTTTCCTCTCAGGTTTTTGTTTCCTCTCAGGTTTTTTATTTCAAATTCTTTTCCTGCAGCTGTATTTGTCAAGGAAAGCTGTGGCTGCCACTGTATTTCATACCACAACCTAACTAATTGACTTGCTCCAAGAATGCTCCACAGATACGACTGATCTGTTACTTAGTTTAAAGACACTAATATGGAGTAATGAAATAGGTGTTTGGCTGCCTGTATTTACCACATCTTGGTGCTTAGGCACAGACACAGTAACAGACATGGGGAAAATTTAGTGCCAAAAGCAAGATTTTACCAAGCCTCCAGGGTTAAGTTGCTGTAAACAGACATTGGGGGATCATAATTTGTCCAGCTTCCACATAGATTTGGGATTTGGGCTTACATGCAACATATAGCATTTATAAAATGCCCCTTCACATAGACAAGAGGTGGAGACGTACTATCTCAGTTTCTTGCTCTTTCTTTCTCTATATTAGGGTGGCATTTTATAGAGAATGTCCTGCCTTTTCTCTCTATTTTCATTATGTCCCTAAACTGTAACTATAACGTGACTGGAAAAGTAATTGATTCTCATCTTACAATGTAAGAAGTAGTAACTGCCTTTAGAGAAGGAGAAGCTGTAGAAGAACTCTTTGTTGTAACTTTCAGTAATGTCAGATGGTGACAGAGCCATGGCAGACAAATGTACAAAGGATGGAACATCCTCCTCTTCCAAAAGAATACCAATTTGCAGATAAACTATTTGGCAATATCAGCACCTGTAATTTGGAACAGGAGGAAAACAGTAGCTGCAGTTCCTTTACT